TTATAAAATGGTTTAAATTAAATATTTTATTATAAAATTAATAATTTAATATTTAAAAATATAATATTTATTCTTATTTTTTATATATAGGTTAAATCAAATATAAATTTAATTATTTTCTTTATTTTTTTTAATATAAATTTTTTAAAATTTTTTATTATTATATATAAAATATTATTAATAAATTATTTATAATATAAAATATTTAAATATTCTTTAATATATAATTTATATTTAATTATATAAAAATTAATTATATTTAATATATATATTATTTTTATAATTAAACCCTTTTTTTATTTATAATATTTTATTTTTTTTTTATTATTATTATATTAAAAAATAAAGTAATTATTAATTATTTTATATAATTTTCTTACTAAATTAACCTAATATAAACTATTATATCTTAATAAATAATATTTTTATATTATTTATTTATATAGTTTTTTAAATGGTTTTAAAGATATATTTATATAATATACAATTATATTTATAATATATAAAAATATCTTTTTACTAAATAAAATAATTAAAAATAATAATTTTTAATAAATTTATTTAAATGAAATAATAATTTATTTATTTATAAAAATAATAGGTTTAAATATTTTTAATAAGATTTTTATTATAAAATTATATACTACTAAATGGCAAGGTATAATAGGTTAAAAAGTAAAAGGTTTTTTATAAATTTTTAATAATTTTGTAAATATAAGGTACTTTTTTATCTTTTATTTAATTATTTATAAAAACTATTTTTTTTATATTATCATTTTTAGTAAAAATTTTAAACTAATATTTATAAGTATAATAATTTTATTTTATACTATTAAATTCTTTACTGCAATTTTATTTTAATTTATTTTTTATAAGATATTTTAATTTTTAATTAAAAATTTTTTATATTTTATATAATATTATAATAAAAATATTATTATAATTTTAAGATTTTTATTAAATATTATAATTAATAATTTATTTTAAATTATATAGTTTTAAATATTTTTTAATATAATTAAATTTTTTTTAATTTTTACTAAAATATTACGGGATTTTTTAAATTATATTATAAATCGTTATTTTTTTTTATTTCAATTTCTATTTAATATAGTAAAAAATTTTAACAAATTTTTTTTAAAATTTTATATTAATTTTTAAGTTAAGGTTATACAGCTTTTATTTTTTTTTATTAAATATACATTTTTATTAAATATATTATATAAAATTATTTTATATTTAAATAAATAAATTTTTATTATAAATAATATAAATTAAATATTTACCTTTTAATAATAAATTATTTTTTATTTTAAAAGATAATTATATTCCTTTTAAATAATAAATATATCTTTTTTTTATAGTTATTTTTAATATTTTAAAAGGTATATTAATAATAATATTTATTTTTATTTAAAATATAAGTGTAAATAATATATTGTTTGGGAAGGAGGTTGGGTTATCCCATTAAATACGCTTGCCGGAAAAGTTTATTTTTTACTTTTTTATTTTTAAACCTTTTTTTATATTTAGGTTTTTTATTTCGGAAAATCTTTTTTTTTCCCATTCTTAAGTACGTTTAATTTAGGTTTTTTTAGGTATAATTAATTTTAAATTGGTATTTTAAAGTTGCGTTATATTTTTAAATTATAGGCGTTTTATTTCTTCGGTTAATTTTTTATTAAAAAAATTATTAAAAATTTTAATCGTTATAATAACATCTTTTTATATAAGTAAGATTTATTGATAAAATTTAAATTTAATTAAGGACTTTTAAAGGTCCGCCATATTTTTACTATAGAAAATTTTAACAACTTATTAAACTAAAATAAATACATTTTTAATAACTTTATTATAATTTTATTTTATTTAATTAAATTTAAATATTTGGTTTATATTACCAAATATCTTAACTATTAATATATTAATATTAATAATTAATATACTATTATTTTTATAAAAAGCCATTTATTTTTTATAAATACAATTAATTATATCTATAAAAAAATTAACTATTTTTATACCATTAACGTAATCCTTTATAAATAAAAATTCTTTTTTTTTAACTTTAATTATTAAATTAAAAATATTTATATAAAATTTTTTTATAAAATTTTTCATTATAACTATTAAATATAATATACTTTTATCCTTTTTTTTTTTAAAAAATTCCTTTATATACTAAAATTCCGGTACATTTATTACCTTAAATTAAAGTAGCAAAATATTTAACCGCTTATATATTCAAAATATTTAAAAGATTTTATTAACACGCTTATAACAATTACATTCATTACTAAACTAATAAAACCAAGGTTTAAAAATCTTATAATATATCGTAAAAATTATATTTATATAATCTTTTATTATAATAATATAAAAATAAATAACCAAATAATTTTACTTAATATTAATTTCTATCATTAATATAATAATAGGTAAAAAAAAAATAAAAAATTTAATTATAAACAATATAATATATTATAAATAAAAAGTTTAAAACTAATTTATAAAATTATAAATTAACAACCTTTAAAAAATAAAAAAAAAACAATTTAAAATTAATAAAATTTAAAAAAAAACTACGTAAAACTAAACAATATTATACTTCTTAAATAATAAATACGTTTTATTATACAAAAATAACTTTTTAATGGAAAGTAACGGTTTTTTATATATTAATATAACCTTAGTCTTAAAGATGCGTTTTACATCTCCAAGCTAAAACGCAAAACGCAAACATGACAAATAATAATAATAATAATAATAATAATAATAATAATAATAATAATAATTGTAAAAATATTAATAATAAAATTATTATAATATAAAATTTAATTATTAAAATTTTAAATTTTTTAAAATAATTAAAAATTAATAATTTAATATTTAAAAAAATTAATAAATTTAAATAAGTTTTTTTTAATAAATTATAAATTAGTTTTAATAGTAATAATTATAAAATTATATAATAAAAAAATATTAACCGTTTAATTAAAATTATAAAAATAATAAATATGTTTAATAAAATATATAAATAAAATAAATTTAAATATATTATTTAAACTTTAAATAATATTAAATAAAAATAAATTATTATTATATTTATTAATTTATTAAAAAAATTTTTATTTGTTAAAAACATTTTTTACGTTTAAACTTTTAAAAATTATTATAAAAAATTAATAAATAATTAATAAATAATTAATAAATAATTGATAAATAAATATTTAATAAATGATAAAAAATTGATAAAAGTTTCCAATAAATTTTACCGTACAAGCTTACAAATATGTGAAAATGTTTACGCGAGCTTGCAAATACATGCGTTTTCTTAAATTTTAATTAATAAAAATAAAAACAATAATATAAAAAAAATAACAGTAATTATTTTAATTTAAATAATAAAAAAACTTTACATTAAAAAATTTAAAAAATTTATATTTATATAAATATTACGTAATAATTAAATTATAAATTTAAAATTAACTAAATAAAAAATAATTTTTTATTATAAATTTAATATATAAATTAATTATAAATAATTTTTATAATTAATATAATATAAATAATAATAATAATATAATAAAAATATTATTTCTTTTTTTTTAATTAAAAAATTATTAATAAAAAATAATAATAATTAATTTTTAATTAATTAATTTTTTTTAATATATTAAATTTTTATAAATTTTAACATATTAAAATAAATAAAATTTACCGTTTTTAAATTTTTAATTTATTATAAAATATATTTAATTAATATAAAATAAAAATTTCTATTTATAATAATTTATATTTTTTCATTTAAACTAAATAAAAAAAAAATCGCATTATAAAATCGCTTCGTAAACTTAAGGCATATTTTCAAGATTGGTGCTAGCATCAAAACGGCCATAGATCCGATCCTGGTCTCCCTTTTGCCGCAGGGCAACCACCAGGCAATTACAAAGTGTAACAACTACACTTTTACTAACATATCCGCAAGCTTTTTACAAAAGCCCGCAGATCGCCTTGCGCATCATCCCGATCGTATGATATTGAAGATGCTGGAAATTGAATAAGATCCTTCCGAGCAGGGATTTGAGCATAGGAAATACGACATGGTGGTTGCCGCCGCAGTGCTTCATGCCACCGCTGCTGTTAGAGAGGCCCTAAAAAACGCAAATTCACTCCTTAAGCCGGGTGGTTACCTGGTTATATGACAAACAAATGGGGCACCGTTTCTGATAGTGTTTGGGGAACGCTGCCCGGGGGTGGAGAGGCACAGAGGACGACCGCCAGCAGGGTTCCCTTTACTCCCGACCAGAGTGGGATATCTGTCTGAAAGAGTGTGGGTTTACTGGCATCGAACTCTGTGTTCCCGATCACACTGAAGAATATCATCATACCTTTAGTCTTATGGTCTCGAAACTGGCCCCCGAGAGTGGTGTCACTACACAAGAGTCCACTCTCCGGTCCATGATCATCTCAGCGGACGCTAAGCTCCAACAAGAGGTAGCTTTGGATATTGCCTCCTATATGAAAGAGTTAAAACATATGTCGAGTTATGATATCGTTGGCCCCAACTCCCTACTTTCTAAAAAGGACAAGATTGACGTTTTGGTAACTTTGCTAGAACTTGAAGACCCATTTTTTGGCTCGATGACGGAGGAAAAACTAGCCATCCTTAAATCCATAGTCGATTCTTCGAACCAGGTATAATGGCTCACGAGCGGTGGCGGTGCCAAAGCGACTCAGCCGGAGAAGGCCATGTCTTCCGGCTTCGGTCGTGCCGTCACGCAAGAATACCCGGGCCTTTGGTTCGCCAACATCGACGTGGATGATCCGAAGATAGCCGCCAAGATATTTGCGAGAGTGTTCGGGCGGAACGTAGGGATAGCCGATAGCGAAGATTGGGAATCTGATTATTAGCAATCCGATAGAGCCGTCTTAATCCCGCGCGTAGTCGAGGCGGACGAGATTAATGCCTTTACGCACTTGAAGACGGGCGCAGGTTGATGCAAGAGCAATACAACATCCCCAACGACCGCATCTTTTACAGTCGCAACCTCTTCTTCGGCCGGCAGATCATGCAGGTAACCCAGGGCCGCGGGGTCGACGTGGTCTTGAACTCGTTGTTGGGCGAGGCGCTCGCTGAATCTCTACGCATCCTCGCGCCGCTAGGACGCTTCGTAGAGATCGAAAAGCGAGACATCCACACGTTCCAGAACCTCCCCATGCAGCCATTTGTCAGGAACGTGTCATACCACGCAGTTAATACCAAGTCAGTCGAACATTACAACCCAGCCCATATGTGTGAGCTTGTGCTCGAGCTGGTCGATATGCTCGACGCCGGCACCTTCCGACCCCCACGGCCCGTGAGCGTCTTCACGAGGGGCCAGTTTGAATCCGCGATCTGATATCTGCAGACAGGGCGGCACATAGGCAAGGCCGTTGTCGACTGGGAGACTGAGGTAGAGATTCCCGTGGTACCAAGTCCCGAGCCGGCGTTCATTTTCGATGCGAACGCTAGCTACGTAATCGCTGGCGGCTTGGGTGGTATCGGTAGGAGTCTTGCCGCGTGGTTTAGCCGCCGCGGCGCGAATGTTGCTACGCCCCGGTGCGACGTGAGCGATGCTAATTCTCTAAGGGCTGTAATTGATTATGCCACCAAGACACTGCCTCCTGTCAAAGGATATATTCAGACCTCCATGGTCTTGAAGGTAGGCCATTTTAATAATATAATACTTGATTAACACAACTCAACTGACCAAATTCTCCCACTTCTAGGATCGGGTGTTCCAAAATATGACGCTGGATGAATGGCAAACTGTGCTTGATCTTAAGATTAACGGGACGTGGAACTTACACCGCATCCTCCCTAAGAAAATGGACTTTTTCGTCATCCTCTCCTCCACTGGCGGAATGGTTGGCTCGACCGGTCAGTCATAATATAATGCGGCCTCGGCCTTTCAGGATGCATTCGCCCGGCACCGCTGGTCCTTGGGCGAGAGGTGCGTCTCGGTCGACGTTGGTGTCATTAAGGACGTTGGCTACGTGGCCGAGCACAGCGACATCGCCAAGCACTGGGACGAAACCAAGATTCAGGTTCTCGCTGAGAAGGACCTGCTCGCAGTCATTGACTAGGCGTGCAGCTACCCAGAATACTGCCAGCTTCCCAGTACGACTACGATGTTATCTTCCTGGTCTACCCAGACCATCGCGGGAACGGGGCCGGCAGCCAAGGTGGACAAACAGACCATGGATTTGATGCCGTACCTGAAGCGGCCCCTATTCCGCACTTTGCAACAGATAAACGCATACGGAGCGGGAGCTGGTAGTCAGATAAGGATGCAAGAAGAAGATGCAGATTACGGCGTCCAGCTACGCGCGGCCGGAAGCCTGGATGAGGCCGGGGCCATCGTTGCGGCCGCGTTAGGGAAGAAATTGGCGCGCGCCCTGTCCGTTCCCGAGGAAAACATCGATATCATGAGGCCGGCCCACTCTTACGGAGTTGACTCATTAGCTGCTGCGGAGCTGCGGTTCTGGTTTTCTAATGAGATGAAGTCGGACATTTCCGTATTTAACATTTTAGCCAACAATCCTATTCTAGCCTTAGGACGATTTGCAGCAGGAAAAAGTGAGCATTTGTTGAAACTATAAATAACTAATTACCTATTTACCATGTAATTAATTAAAGTAATTAATTAAATAAAAATAACAAAATTTAAACTTTTAATAATATTAACGTATAATTAAGTTATTTTTTATATTTATATAAATAATTAATATACATATAAATTTTCTAATGTTTTAATTAATATATTGTATATATAAATATATAATATTTATTATTTAAATAATAATGGATATTATTAATTTTTGTAAGACTTTTTTTCCGCCCGCGTCCATTTCGGAACTATTGTACTTACTTGACCACTTCCACCACTACATTACACACTTAACCATGTGGCATACAGTCGCCGCAAACATCGAACGACGTCGCCACGCCACTAGTTGTGCTGATGATGTACCCACCAATGGGAATATCCGACGTCGGCATTCTTGAGCTTCTCGATTCTGATCCCAGACCGACCTTCGTCGTCGCGATTGCTCCGGCACAGTCGCCGCAGCCAATCTATGCGAACCCCGCCTTACGCCAAAAAACCTCCCTACACGCGCGACTCGTCGAGTTATCCCAGTCGCGCCATGGATCTTTTTGGGACTGGGTGACTGCTCCTACCCCCGGTAGTTCGACCCTAAACCACACCTCCCTTTTCGAGAGTATAATCTGGACGCGGTCGATAGTCAGCAATAAATGGGCTGTTATTGGTGGTAATCATGGATTGACGTCGGAAGAAGACTTCCATGGCGGGAGGGCCTCGCATAGCCACGGAAATAGTAACAATATCCTACACGATAGCGCCTTATCCGTGGCTTCAGATGATGGAGATTATGGTTGGACACCTCCAGATTTCATGCTAGATCAAGAGTCCTTTGTTCATGTAATCAACACTCTGGACTGGGCGGCCACGCCTCTCGGCCCGCTGTCCCTCTGGCCTCCTCTCCTTCAGCAAACCTTCAACCAGGTTCTTGCTGATTCAAGACCCATTGTTATCTACTGGGGTGACAAGTTGACGACTCTATACAACGAAGCATTCAGCCAGCTGTGTGGCTCTAAACATCCTGCTTTATTGGGGAAGTCGGTAGAAGACGCTTGGCCTGATTTCTGCGAAAAGATAAAATTAGCAATGTCCTCGATGGCCTCAAAGCAGCGTACGGGCAATGAGGACGAATGGCGGTTCTTTGTAGAGAAAGTAGATGGGAGTTCTGAAGAGAAGTATCTTAAGTGGTCTATGATACCTATCATCGAGAAGAACAAGTGCCTTGGTTTTATCCAGCCTATCCAAGACACAACTTCTATGCGACTCTGGGAGAGACGTATGCAAATGCTGATTGATTTAGGCGACACTTTGGTCACTGCCCGTGACGTTAAGTCCTACTGGGCTAAACTCATCCAAGAACTCGAGGCGTGCCAGCCGACCTACGATATCCCTCTTGCTATCCTCTACTCGGTTAAAGAAGACCCGGCGTCGTCTGCAGGAAAAGCTGGTCGACTAGAAGGCTGTTTAGGTATTCCGCAGGGCCATCCTATAGCCCCCCCGAAGTTACAGCTAGATGGAAGTGATCTAGGTTTGTCTTTATCTTTTAGAGAGGCTCTCGAATCGCAGACCCCAATACTTTTGCAAATCAAGAATGGAACATTGCCAGAGTTGCTGCTCAAGGGTCTACAATGGCGTGGTTTCAAAGACCCTTGCCACGAGGCTATCATTTGCCCTATACGGCCAACAAAAGATGAGCATGTGCTAGGCTTGCTCTTACTTGGGCTCAATCCTCGTCGGCCGTACGACAATGACTACCAACAATATATCTCCTTGCTAGGGCAGAAACTAACTACAACTCTGGCGTCTACCGTACTTCTAGAAGAAGAAGCACGAAGGGGTCGCAATATCGCGGAGCAAGCCGCATATGACCAGGCGATGCTCGCAATGCAGACGAAAGAAGCTACAGAGTCTGTCCAAAAGTTTCAGCAGATCGCTGAATTCATCCCAGTTGGAATGTGTTTCGGTAACCATCGTGGCAACATTACATTTGCTAATGATGCCTGGCATCGGATCACTGGCGCCCCTCAAGTAAATCCACTTACACCTGAGGGTTTCTTGTCCTGCGTCATCGAGGAAGATAAGCCTAATGTACAGCGGGCATACGAAGAACTTCAACGAACTCTTACTGTGACTATTGAGTTAAGAGTTCGACGGCCGGTGGAGGATACTTATCCCCTTCAGTATCCCATTGGAAGCTCTCCTAGTTTTGAGAAAGCCGGGTTGGACCTTGATGCGGAGGATGGGAGTGTCCGGCACGTTCTGGCTTCCTTGAAAGCTGAACGGGGTCCTAATGGCAACATTAATCAGGTTTTGGCATGTTTGACAGATGTGACTTTACATAAAAAGGCCGCCGAAGAAGCAATTCGCAAGGCCCAACAGGCAGAAAACCTCAAGCGGTAAGTACTAGTACTTCAACATGTACACGACCTCCGCTTTCCACGTAACAATCCATATCCCTCAGTCTTAGCGAGCCTTGAAAATTCACAGAACAAAGCTGCAAGATAACCCCTAAGCCTTTGAAAGGCCAGAAACTAACTTTACCTGCTGTAGGATGGCGCAACTCGCCACGGTGGGGATGTATGACATGGCTCTCGATGGCCGGTTGATCGGAGCCAACAATGTGTTCTACGAAATGTGCGGCCTGGAGAGAGTGGACCTCTCCCAAGTGTCAGTTAAGCCATTCGAATTTTGTGTCGTCGATGAGGATATACCAGTCCTAAAGAAGACGCTTGCCACCCTCGTTAAAGAATGCAAGTCGCAGACTGCCGAACTTCGGTTAAAGACATTGTGGACTGAAACAGACACTACTGGCGAACAGATTACTGCACCGCGTTGGGTCCTTGCTACCTTTATGCCAGTGAGTAACTCGGAGGGGGCAATTCAAACTTTTACAGGCTGTCTGAGTGATGTTTCATTACAAAAATGGCAATTCGAAAAGGAGCGACAGCGGAAGGACGAGGCGATCGAATCAAAGCGACAGCAAGAGAACTTTATCGACATGACTTCGCATGAGATGCGTAACCCTCTAAGTGCCATCGTTCAATGTGCCGATGCAGTCATCGGGTGCCTTACCAAGGCCCAAGAATTGATCGATTCAATGTCTGTGAAGCCTGATCAAAACGGCGTGTTGAACACTGCCACAACCAATACCCCGGGCCGCATCTGGAAGGAAGGTTCCCAGTTAGTAAAAGACAGCATAGACAACGCAGAGACAATAATCGCTTGTGCTCAGCATCAAAAACGAATTGTCGATGACATCTTGACAATGTCTAAGCTGGACTCGAATCTTTTATCTATTACTCCGATTACGGTTAATCCTATCCACATTGCGCAAGAGGCTTTCAAGATGTTCGAGGTGGAAGCTCGTAGAGTTGACATCGATTTGACCATGGTGGTTGACCAATCTTATAATAAGCTCAATATCGAGTTTCTGGATTTAGATCCTTCTCGACTGAAACAAGTTCTTATTAACCTTCTCACAAACGCCTTGAAATTCACGAAGAATGGACCGACGAGAAATGTTTCGATTACGATGAGCGCTTCCAAGACCCGTCCCGAGGATCGTGCCTCTTCGGTACAATTCATCCCACGCGCACTGGAAACGATATGGCAAGGTGATAGGCCATCTTCGCCAATACCTGTGGAGAACAGGATCTATCTCATGTTCGAAGTCAAAGATACAGGACAAGGACTCACCGAAGAAGAGAAGTCTTCTCTATTCCAACGCTTCGTCCAGGCCAATTCGAAAACCCATGTGAAATATGGAGGTTCGGGGCTCGGACTGTTTATTAGCCGCAGGCTCACCGAGATGCAGAATGGCGCTATCGGAGTAGCATCTAGTCCCGGTCAAGGTTCGACCTTTGCATTCTACATTGAAGCTCAGGTGCCGAATGAAGAGGCATTCAGAGAGGCTCGGGCAGCTGCGGAGGCTGTCGGCCACATCCTAAAGACAACAAGCAGCGCCGCTGGCAAAGCATCAAACAGGGGTCCGTTTACTATGACAAAGCCGGGCAAGAGGCTACTCACACCACAGATAGAAGGTGTCCTCCTAGTCGAAGATAACCTTATCAACCAACAGATCACCCGTCGTGACCTTCAGAATAGTGGATGTTCGGTCGAGGTGGCCAATCACGGAGTTGAGGCCCTGCAGAAACTTGAGCACACGAACCGTGCGGATGGGCAATTCCCACTTAGCCTTATCTTGATGGACATTGAGATGCCGGTACAAGACGGTCTCACCTGCACGCGCAAAATCAGAGAGCTGGAGAAGACGGGTTATTTTAAGGGGCCACGGATACCTATCATCGCGGTCAGTGCCAATGCGCGCATGGAGCAGATATTAGAGGCCAAAGCCGCCGGATGTGACGACGTATTGGTGAAGCCATTTCGGATTCCCGAGTTGATCGAGAAGATGATGACCGTAACAAAACAGCTTGAAAGGTTTGGATGAGGTTGACCCCGATTGTGTTTTATAACATCGGCTCTCTATCGTTACTTTTAGTATTGTTGGTCGAGACACAGTCGAGACCAGCTGCCTCGCTCCTCTTTCTTCCTCCTATTACAGTCGCATAGACTTGCATTCATCGCATCATCTATACTGAGCTGGTTTGTTTATTTGTTTGCATTTGTCACTGGACGGATAGCGTCAGCATGATACCACGGGAACAATAGCGACTTATGAAGATAGGCATGGGTTTGGAGTTTTAGGTATTTGTAGTTCATTATTGCCAAGCCTATCGAATACGCAGCTGCTCATAACTATGTACGATAGATAGCTGCCAATTAAACCGGCTGGCTTGTTCTTTTATTTGTTGCGTGGACTGACAGGTATGGCGACTTTGGTGATATCGTTCGTACGTTATCTCTAGGCGACAGTTGTACCTAGGCTACACATTCTGGGGGTTATATGTTCGGACGTACAACCCACGGGATATGATTCATGTTTTACCAGTATATTAAGGTCGTCTTATTTCTAAGAATTAGAATTTTATCATAATCAAATGAAATTCATGAGAATGTTCAAGCTGTTGTGCGGAAGTGAGATATTCTATGTAGAAAGTCGATACGCAGGTCTCATACCTCGAGTTTACAACTTAAAGCCAGGTTTTCACACTTATCTGAATTTCTTACTAGCCTCGGCAAAGCTCATCCCTTTCTTGATCGCCTCTGCCATCTTATCATCCGCGTCAACTTGCTTCTGCATCAGTGGTAAGGCTTGCTCCGCCAACTCAACAGGCAAGACGATGACGCCGTTCAGGTCCGCAATTAGGTAGTCTCCCGGTCGAATATCCATGTCTTGCTCGTCTGTTTGCAGTTTCACGGGCACGTTGACAGCAGCTACCTTGAGTAGTTCAGCTGGAGGTGCCGTCCCCGTCCCACGAGCAAAGATCTATGATTCTTAAGCGTCGGTAAACGTGTAAAGGGAAAGGGGGCTTAAGTAATTAATTAAAGAGAGTGATAATCATACCGGATAGTCTAATTCACGCTGCTCTTGCAAGTCACGAAAACGTCCGTCGATGATAGACCCGACGGCGCCCCTAAATCGAGCGCGAGTCGACATTAAGCCTCCATACACGGCATTAGGAGTTTTGGGAGGGCAAGAAACAAAGACTACAGCACCCTTAGGTACTGTATCAATCTTAGGCGATAGTTAGCACTTCTTCCCGTTAACTAGGTAGACTTTTTCTTTCTTTTTCTTCTTTCAACGTACATAGTGGGTTGGATGTTTAGGCGATGGATCATCTAACGGCACGTACTTAACAGTGTAGGCCGGGCCTACTATCCTGGTAGGACCATCCTGGCGTTGAGGGGACCACATGGTCAAGCCGGATAAAAACCCGCCATTACGATATTTGAGCTTGCATAAGGCATCTGAGACGTCGCAGCTAAAAATTTAGGAAAATTAGATAGGTTATAGCGCTCGTATTGCTTTTCCTTACGTTGTGTACTTCTGTAGTTCTTTAATGATAATATCTTGAGATTCTGTCATATTGCCGAAATACCGAACTCGGCTGAATTGCGCGCGTCGTGTAGCGGTACCGAGAGAAGGACTTCTAAGCTGAATGCGCAATGCGGATAACATGGAGATCTGTTATTAAAATATCGACTCTTTGTTGTTTTATCTGTTATTTTATTTTATTTTATTTGTCATGCCAAATCTCCAAAACGTCGGTATTGTCAATATTAAGTTAGGTACCTAAGGTTAGAATTTGGTTAGTTGAATTATCTATTAAAGGTATACATTGAATTGTACCTTCACCCAAGTCTATGATTACATCACATGCTTTTAATCGAGTTCTATTATCATTATCCTTACTAGATAAATATCTATATGTAGGTAAGGTAGTTATAATGTTAGTGAAGTTTAATATAGAATAAGACATTTAATTCGGCTTCGGATTTGGATTAGCTAAATACTGTACGTACCCGGGTTGGTTAATCAAAGCTATGTCATGTGAAACGTGATAAATTATTCTCATCTTTTTTTGCCTGGTTAGGTATTACAAAGTCTTTCATAGACCGTCTCATAACAATTTGCCAATTTGTTATATCCCTGCAGTCGGGTCCAAGGATAAGAAAAGAAAAGAAAAAAAAAAGTCATTAAAGAATCGATAAAATACGAGTTATCGAGGGGTCACTAATATGAGCTCTGTATCACTGTGTCCCTCAACCCCCAAGACCCCTTTAGTCTGCGAGATAGTAGACATTGCAGGTGGCCGACGCTCGTAAGTGACCGCACTGGCAATAACACCGACCGCTGCAATACCAATCATGATATTAATATCACTCGTAAAAGCCGATGCGTACCTGTATCAACCAACGTTAACCTCATATACATCGACTAGCTACTAGCTGCTAGCTGCTAGCTGCTGCCTGCTGCCTGCTGCCTGCTGAGACTTACACGGAGCGAACGAGAAGTTTAATCTCGTCTGGTAGCCACGGAGCGATGGTTGGGCTGTGATGTAGCGCAGCTAAGTCTTCAGCATCCATCTTGCCGCTCAGTTCAACTGTTACCTTTCTGTTGAACATGATACTGCAAACTGCTATCCCAATAGCACCACCGAATACTCGAGCCTGCGCGATTGCGCCTTGGGCGACGGCTAGATCTTGGCTTTGCGACTGCACCGAAGCCATAATTGTTCCTGCCCCAAGGGACAGTCCAAATCCAAGACCTAGAATTACCTGGAACCCATACTGCGCTTTGGTCTCAGTTGTAGCATCCTTGAGCGTGGACATAAAGCTAATGCCGACAAGTTGAAAAACTTGAGCTAACATTAACGTCCACGATGTATTGTTCCTTTTGCGCGAGATAATACCGGCGAGAAAAGCGCCAAAAGAAGTTGCACCTAACAGTGGTAAAAGGTGGATGCCCGAATAGAGCGCGCTCTCTCCGCTAACAATTTGGAACCGCTCGGGGAGGATGACGAGAACAGACAGGTAGATGAAGCCGGTACAAAACGTACATCTGTCCCTTGTTAGCTGTCCTTTTGTTACACATTCGACCACTCATACATACATGACGCAACTCGCATATACTCGTCGAAAGAAGAGCCTTAGGGGAAATATAGGCTCAATATGTGTCCTGCCTTTAAGGCCGATAAATATCTCCCATGTGAAGAAGGCTACCCAGCTGAGAGATGCAATTGACAAGGCTGCAACAATAGTCGTACTATCCCACCGATATGTATAAGTGCCGGCCTCCTGCAGTGAAAATACTAGCAGAGCGCATGCTAATATGACTGTAATATTCCCGACGAAGTCAATTTTTCGAATTGAACTCCACCCTCTCTGGTGTGCGATAAGTTCGGTTGGTGATGTCAGATATATAGCAACGAGAACCATCACACCGGCCGGGACGCTATTGCGCAAGTTAGAATCAACCTGGAGCTCAGGTAGTTGGCACGTACTTGATCCAAAATATGATAGTCCACTGGCTTGTCGATGAAATTACAGCCCCGAGAATGGGGCCTAACACATACGACACCGCTAACGTGATACCTACCAGTCCACCCATTAGGCTAGGCTTATCGGATGGGCCTACTTCGAAGAGTACGATCTGACTTAGGCTATACAAGCCAGCGCCACCCATTCCTTGGAATGCTCGACAGATAATCCTATCAAGTATATCAATCAATACTCTTACATAGGAAATAAGAAGGGAGGTAGACGCACAACCGAGTCATGGTGGTTGAGCGAGCACACCCAATAGAGAAGCTGATGAAGAGGATCCATGAGCAAAATAGCATATCACGTCGCCCGAAGATATCGCTCAGCTTAGCAAATCCAATAGCGCAACCAAGGTAGGCCAATAGATAGGAGAGAACGACCCAAGGGGCATCTAGGAAGTTCTGGAGATCAATGGATATAGTAACAAGAGAGGTTGAGACGATAGATGCGTCTAAGGCCGAGAACAGAAGTCCTATAAGTTGACTAATGAAGCTGTCAGCCCAAAGCGGTCATAATTCAAATAGATTGGCGTTCCTTACGTTATAATTAGGGTGACCTGTTGCCAGCCTTGAATAGCATGATGATATGACATCGTAATGATTGAGAAATGGCCGCAGCAAGAGTAGCTATATCGAGCTAGAGAGGAGTTTTTCGATAGTACTACGTCGGCAGCGTTGTTGGTGAGACTTAAACTTCGGTTCAATTCACACTTGCGAGGACGAGGGCCATTGTTCTGTTGAGTTTGTCTTCTTCTCTTTCTCTCTGTGCATAATAGATAGATAATTATTACCCCCCAAAAATAGACCGTCGAATTTTGGTGGGTAGGCAGCCACTTTCCAGCCTAAAGTAAGATTTATTTATCTTCTGCAGGCATCTATGTTGTGTACTTTCTCGTAGTGCCTAACAGCTTCTGGTGCCGAACCTCGCAAAGAAGGCTACTGCGCCTTTATTTTCTTTGCTTTCCTGTTGACCTTGCCGAGAAGCATTGTTAATTACAGCAGGAACGGTGGGATGTTTCCATCTCAAGTTATATATACCTAGGCATGCACGTATGCATCTGAATACTTAAAATAGTATATATATATAATTCAGACCTTACCTAACCTTGGGTTTCTGTGCGGCCCCTTACGCACCAGGGTAACTCATAATTACACTCTAATCTATCTGTTTCTTGTCTCCTATTTTCTTCGATGAGACTACATAGTTGTACAGGGCTAGCTATATATGTACGACTCAGCCTCCGGGGTAGACCTAGAGTAAAACACTAGAATAAACCTGTAAGAATCCGAGTCAACACATCCCGTCACGACTAGATTAAGGACATATAGGGGCTTAAATTCTCTCTACAGACTTCTTCTTGGTCCTGACTTGACGGGGATAGCTGGCAGTTTGACATTGTCTAGTTATTAATGTACTGATATGTAACGGCAAATGACGGGCTGATGTTGTGTAAGGTAGGACATGAGAAACGTTCACCAGGAGATCATATATCTACCTACACGGGGCGCGGCATTCCAACATAATTTATTTTACTTAAAATATTATACTTAGTTCCTCAACTATGTTCAGATAGCTGCTCCTATTACTGTTGTTCGTTTAGTTTTTGTCTGAGGTATGAATGAGACATAAATGACACCATAAAAGATGGCTTCGAGTACGATGTTTGTGTCAAATTTCTACCCTGACGCACTAATCTGTTCCTCATAGAGATGAAGTTTCCAACAGTATGGAATTGGGACAAATAAGATCCATGCTGTACCTAGAGCTTTTGTACGTACTCCCCTCCCCCTAACTACCGAGGTATCTATATACCCATGTCTGTTGTCGAAAATTATTTTCTACCGGGTAAGTTGAAGTAGTTGAGAACGCTGGGTTCCGTGAAACGTGATACTAACAACCTGATGGGCTCAAACCCCCTAAGCGCCACAGAGACAGATCATGTACAGTCCCATTTGTGCAACTTCTGCTGTTCCTGGACTAAGTAATAGGGTCGTCGCACCCGCGATGCTTTGTTCAACTTGTTTGTCGTACCAATAGTAGCAATTTACTCGGCGGTCTGAAACGAGAGATGTGTTTTTCATCTAGACGTGACAAACATGTTTAAACGGCATGAAGGAACTATGCTACATGACGTAAGATTTAGCTTCTAATGCCTCTCTTAACCGTTCTCTGATGACTTTAAGCTGGAGCCGCAACAAATCTTGTTTTAATCAAGGTTGATGGGGGCTTCTTCACAATCCGCATTCAATAATCCAAACCTAGGTAGCTTTGTTGATATATCACATAATAACATAAGCCCCCCCTAGAGGCGCGGCTAATTCCCAGCAACTTGGATATTGAAATTCTAGCCCTAGGTAGTTTGCTTTTGTGCTACCTTGGACTTAATTAACAAGTAACTTTAGGAATAATGCCCGAATATGGCATCTATCACATGGGGCTACGTAAAGTCAAATAAAGCTAGTTTCCGGAGATCTCTAGACAATAATAGTTCTATTGTGAGGGGTGAATTTCGATTGGTCTATCATCCCATTCCTTACGCTCCTTACCCCCCTTTGATTGGAGTATTAAAGAAGACCACATATTAACAATGTTTCTTTGTCTATATAATTACATGCCGCAGTGTTTGCCTCGGAAAATAATAGAATTTATGTATTTTACTAGTCGACATTAATAAAATCCTCGTATTGTCTGATAAGAGAATGGGAGTTTAAAACATTGCCGCGAAATTCAGCTTTGATCCGCAAATATACTATACTATGTGGAGTATCCTATGATCTAATCCGAATTACTGGGAGTTGAATTTATGTTGGCGCTAAAAAGAATTAAAGCCATGCGAGAGATCGATTAATAAGTGCTTAACACCTGTTTCGTGGCTGTGCTTTTCTTTTTCTTTATTTCTTTTTTTGTGCTGTCCCATACATCTATATATATCTCTTTGATACTCTTAGACGATGTCCGAATACGATGTCTTAAACAATAGAAGACGTTAGCGCTAACAAGTACACAGACCCTCTCTAGGAATTATCAAAGGTTAACCTTTTGTGACAACTAGATAGTTACAACTACCGGGCCGACTACTATTTTTATGGACTCCACGTGTCATGTACCTGGGCTTTGTTGTTATCCGGCTCTCCATGTTCCATTATAAACTAAAGTAACTAGACAATTCGGTCTATATTCCAATATGACGAGACTGTTTATTAATTCCTGCCAGTTAGGTAGAAGCCAGGTAGAAGCCAGGTAAACAGACAAGGATATGACGAGGAGCATAAACAAACAAGTAGCAACACTCGATCCTTTAGCTCTTGTAGGAACAACAAACAACTTGTTGTATTAGACTTTCCTTTAACGTATATTCAGAAACACCCTCGGTGTATTTTGTATCACATAGGGCTATGCCTATCTGATGACATAAATTCAATGACACATGTCCCTTTGTTCTTTGTTATTTAGCGTAATTACTGGCGTCTAATCGCTCCACCCGAATGGTTATATCCTTGGAGGCGTATTTTGAATGCGGTCACAATTCGTTGTGATTTACTGTAGGAAGTAAGCCACCCGACAGCATGATGGAGATCCGTTGATGCTATGTTTTGTGTTATATTCAGTAAAATTAAACTTCTTACAACTTTTCTTGTTACAGCCTCACGGCCTTATTGTAAGCCGGGTATCTTAAAATATACCTAATATATGTATCTCCCTAGGTAGGTGTTCTACCTAATGTTGCTTAAATATAGTTTTGGAAGTTACCTGAGCTACATGAATATGTATAACAAAGTTGTTGGTTCTATTTTGGTAGAATTATACCCTAAGACCATACCCTCTTAGTTTAGATCACTGCCCAACGAAAATCATAACAATCTTCTAGAATTCGCGGACCCATGTGGTTTTTATAGACGGTACTACAGATACTTGGCTAGAAAAAAAGAGGCTTCATCAGATCAAGATCTGTTTAGGCTCTAAGCTCGGAGCAATCCTCTTAGCTCCTTGACTCATTGCATGCAAAGATCTACATGGTACTTTGGGCGTTGATGTATCCTCCCCCTTTTATCTGCCTAAAGACACTAAGAAACCAACTCGCCGGATAGAACAGCCACACTCGACAATTCAACTTAGACCATTTCCCTTCGGCTCGGAACGGACATGAGCATTTCGGTTTATTACTAATTATATCTCTGACCTTTAAATACTACAGGGGTTCAAACATGAGTTCAAATGTTTATATCTATATAACATCTTCGTCAATATTTTATATAAATACACCAATACCTTGTATCATTTCTTCCTACAAAAAATTAGTTACTGCCTCTCTTCAACGGGTTCAACACAAGATTTTTCTCATCTTACTCCTACTACTTCCCCAAGACTGCAGCATACAACACATGCTTTTTTCTAAAATTGTTTGCCTCCGTACATCTTTAAACTCGATCACAATTACCTTCTCGAATCTATCTTAGACAAGGTCTGGCTGTTCTTTATAGACCTAGTTACTGAGCTAGACATCTAAATTGTCTGTGCTTGTATTATACAGACCCTAGTATTGCACGACAATACTTCCCTTTTGGTAACTAATAAAGGACTCTGGGCACCCCTGATGGCTAGCCCGATCCATGATTCAATGGAACCAATTGCTGTGGTAGGAATTGGATGTCGTTTCCCTGGTAGCGCTACGTCTCCTTCACAGCTATGGCAGATGCTCTGCTGTGGGGAAAGTGCCTGGTCTGAAATCCCCAAGGACCGTCTTAATGTCTCTAGTTACTTCCACCCAAGCGGAAACCGAGAAGGCAGTGTATGTGCTCCTTTGGGATCCTGCAGTCTAATAATGGCTAAACCTCTGGTTTAGATTCCTTTCACAGCCGGCCATTTCCTGACCCAGGATGTTGGCGCGTTTGACAGCTCAGTACGCCTCAGCCTATATAATCCAAAGAACGGAACTTTGCTAATATGTGAAGTTCTTTTCCATCCCAGCCGATGAAGCCAAAGCGATAGATCCGCAACAACGAATGCTTCTCGAGGTTGCGGTAGAAGCTCTAGACAGCGGTATCAATGTCAGCATCCCTTCCCATTTAATATCATGCTAACATGTGCTTTTAGCCGGTGTTGACCGCACAGCTTTAAAGAAGAGCGATACAGGAGTTTGGGTTGGCTCCTTCGTGAAAGGTACGCATTCATAAGATAAACATCGTTCGATATCTTTGACGCTTCGCTCTAATAGTATTGTAGATTATGAGCAGATTGTCTTGCGTGACCCCGATAACTCCCCAAAATATGGGGCGACCGGTAACGGAATAGCGATCATGTCGAACCGTATCTCGTTCTTCTTAGACATTAACGGCCCAAGCATGACCATCGACACAGGATGCAGTGCCAGCTTAGTTTGTGTTCACAATGCTTGTCAAAGCCTTCGTAATGGAGAGATCGATGTTGTAAGTTTATACAATAGTTGAATGCCAATGAGAAACCACTCACATCCGTCCCAAATCCATTGCGTGTTATTTCGTACGGATATTAAAAGCGAACTGCTGACTATATTAGGGGCTTGCTGGCGGTGCCGGGTTGATCCTGACGCCTAATACTATGATGCCTATGACGGCGCTAAATTTCTTGAGCCCGGATGGTAAATGTTACACGTTTGATGCGCGTGCAAATGGCTACGGCCGAGGTGAAGGAATCGGTCTTGTGGTTATGAAGCGTCTCTCAGATGCCATACGAGATAACGATAATATTCGTGCCGTAATTCGAGGTTCTAACGTTAACCAGGACGGGCGCACACCTGGTATGTATACTAACTATTTGGTCTGGTTAATAAGAATACCGCTAATTTTATCCTAAGGTATTACTCTACCTAGCGCGGAAGCTCAGCTTCGTAATATAAGAACAGTGTACAAGAAAGCTGGCCTACCTGTTGACAATACGGCCTATGTCGAATGCCACGGCACCGGTACACAGGCTGGTGATTGGAGAGAGTTGAAAGCAATTTCAGACGCGTTTTGTGCAGAGCGTAGTTTCGATAACCCTATATACGTCGGTTCAGTCAAGACAAACATTGGTCACCTCGAAGGATGTGCCGGAATTGCCGGGCTGGTTAAAGGAATCCTCACCATTGAGAATGGAATGATTCCACAGCATCTCAACTTCGAGGCGCCTGGAAACCCAGCTATTGACTTCAACGGCTGGAAAGTCAAGGCAAGGAAATATAACAACTCACAGCTATGTCCTTTACTAATACTATACTAGGTTCCGATCGGTAATACTCTCTGGCCCACCGAAGGACTTAGACGTGCGAGCGTTAACTGTTTTGGCTTTGGCGGAACGTAAGTAACCTCAACGTCTATAACATCAGTATATTTAGACTTGGATGTCTCTTCGAAATTTTCTATACTTAATTCTATAATTAAATACTAACTTTAGTACTAGGAACGCACATGTTATCCTCGATGACGCTGCTCACTACCTGGCTCAAAGGGGGCTCTCGGCACACCATAACACCACACTTCGTGATGGCACTCGAAATCTGCCAATCCCTAGTACCACGATGCACGAGTGGGTTAGATCCGTACAGGGGATGTCAATTCCTACCCGCGATTCGAAGACACATCTCTTCATTTTTTCGGCCCACGAGCAGAAAGTATTAACTCGAATCCTCAAAGACTACGCGTCTTACGCCGGAGAGCAACTTGAATCCTCGCCTAGAAATATCATGGAAGATCTTGCGTACACTCTAGGTTGCCGGCGGACACAATTACAATGGAGAGCATCAGTCGTTGCGCGATCACCCGAGGAGCTCATTCAAAAATTAGTTAACTTACCAAGTAGCGATCTCATTAGGGCATCAGAGGACAGGAGCTCTATCAGATCAGCCTTTGTATTTGGTGGCCAAGGAGCCCAATGGTTTTCTATGGGCAGGGAGCTTCTCGGATTTGACGCCTTCTTGCAGTCGATCGAGGACGCAAGCTTGTATCTGCAGACTAAGCTAAACGCCCCTTTTAGCCTGCTTGCAGAGCTTCTTAAGGATGAAAGCCACTCCTTGGTTAATCAACCCGAGATTTCCCAGCCAGCAACTACAGCAATACAAATGGCACTTGTAGACCTATTGACGAAATATTTTGGAGTTAGCCCAAACTATGTCTGTGGTCATTCTTCTGGCGAGATTGCGGCAGCTTACACTCTGGGGGCTCTCTCACAGGAGAACGCCTGGGAATTGGCCTTTCACCGGGGACGCTGCGCTGGAGCTATGCTGGCTTCGAAAGACGAAGAATGCTTAAAGGGTGGCATGCTTGCCGTTGGTCTGTCAGCTTCTGAAGTACAAAGATATGTGGACCTAGTCGGCGACGACAAAGTGGTGGTGGCTTGCATCAATAGTCCAGCTTCTGTGACTTTGTCTGGCGATGAAAGTGCAATCCAAGAGCTTCAGGAAGTTTTCCAAGCCGCCGATGTCTTCAATAGACTTCTCGTTGTAGACATCGCATACCATTCACACCACATGAAGCGTTGCGAAAACGCATATCTCCAATCGATCGCGCACATCAAACCGAAGAAGCCAAGGAATGAGATGATCACGCATCCTCACAATTCAGGAAAACTCGTTACGCCTAGTGACATCCGAGTGGGAACTAACTCCGTGTATCTCAGTAACGACACCCCCATCATGTATTCGTCCGTTACTGGACATGTCATTAGTTGGGAGGACCTTTCTCCTGAGTATTGGGTAAGGAATATGGTGTCGCCGGTCCTTTTTGCTGACGCTATGCATCGGATGATGAGCGTCAAAAATAGTGAGAAGCCAAGCTTCATCCTAGAAGTTGGACCGCATTCATCACTCCAAGGTCCTATAAGACAGATCCTCGACGCCGAGGAAAAGCTTAGGCAACAGCCGGTTTATTCATCTGTGCTTCACAGGGGAAAAGACGCGGCTACAACTCTATTGGAAGCTACTGGGAAGCTCTGGGGCAATGGGTTTGACGTCGCCATGCCCTGGGTAGTCATGAGGAATGTACAGACTGAGCGACCTAGGCTACTCGTTGATCTGCCAAAGTACCCCTGGAATCACGACAAGGTATATTGGCACGAGTCACACTTGTCGCTGGCCAATCGTTTCCAGATTCATGGAAGATATGATCTCATCGGGCGACCAACAGCTGATTCTATTCCATTTCAACCCCGATGGCGTGGCTTCTTCCGCGTCTCAGAGAATCCGTGGATGTTGGATCATCAAGTGCAGAAGACAATAATCTATCCAGCCGCCGGCATGGCTGCTATGGTACTCGAGGCTGCTAAGCAACTGGCTTCGGAACAGGTTTCGGGGTACCAGATCACCAAGTTCAAAATTCAGAAAGCTATGATCATTCCGAGTACACCACATGGATTAGAATATGCTTTAAACCTCAACAAAAGGGACTGTCAAATGGCTGTGGCTCCTATTGAGGATGGCAGATCTTCCTCATTAGCTATACCTTCAGTCTCTTTCGAGTTTTCTATATACTCCAAACAGCTCGACAAACCTTGGGAGGAACATGGTAGCGGGTATGTGACAATTCATTACCACACAGCTCCTAAGGAGGTAAAAAAATATTATCAGGCGTACCTTGACGCAAAGAAGGAGTGCATCGACCCCGTTAATCCAAGACAGCTTTATGAGAGTCTAGATGTTATTGGCATGAACTATGGTAGGCTGTTCCAGAACATCGAATCTCTCCATAGGCAGGGCGGTGTTTGTGTCGGCGCTATTCGTATTCCGGACACAAAATCTGTCATGCCCGCAAATTTTGAATATCCGCATATTATTCATCCGACGACCTTGGATTCGGTCTTCCAAACCGCCTTAAGTTTCGGAAACGGTCCGATGGTTCCCTCTTTTCTTGGAAGTCTCTATGTATCGGCTAACTCTCCCACGCTCTCAGGGGCTGGCAAACGACTTGCTGCCCATACTTGTGCAAAGCTTAACGGACGACTTGGTGCATCTGCATCCTTTGTTGTTTCGGAACAGTCCTGGTTGGAAACGTCCAGTGCTAATCCACTCATGATAATTGAGGACATGACTTTTACCGCCTTGCACCGGAGCGCGACACAGGAACTCGATTTCCTCCCGAATCATCGTAGTCTCTGTTCCGAGATTACTTGGGAGGAATTCAACATTTTAGAAAACTCCAAAGAGCAGCAGGTTGAGCTGACCAACAGCCTACTTATCCTTATTCCTGTAGACGCTAGTCCGGATATTAGCGGGCTCCAAGCTGAACTCTCTAAGAACTTGAATTGTCAGTTCCGAACATTGAGTAGTATCAAGGAGAACGAGATACTTCCAAGATACTGTATCTCCCTTTTGGAGGCCGACGGGCAAGCATTACTTTGGAAATGGACAGAACAGGAATTTATTGCATTCCAGAACGTGGTTTGCGCCATGAAAGGAATCTTCTGGATCACTCGTGCTTCACAGCTCGAGGCTACGAACCCGAAATCTTGTCTGGCGCAGGCTTTGGGGCGGACTATACAATCAGAGTATCCTAAGAAGAAGCTAGTCACATTTGATGTCGGTATCGATCTGAGCTTTGCCTCTACCATGGTGGTATCATTCACTCAGACACTCTTAAGATTGGTCGCGCGATCTTTCTTTAGACCTCGGGTTGTGGAGCCTATTGAAACGGAATATATTGAACGTAATGGGCAAATCATGGTTCCAAAGCTGGTTCCCGTGAGCTCGTTGAATTCTATGATTGAACGCGGCTCTGCACCAGCAGAGCCAGACCAGCAGATGATGCCAAATCCGCATGAAAGGCCCCTTAAGCTTGAGATTAGACAAGTAGGCGATACGGGAAGCTTGTACTGGGGTGATGACCCTGACGCCATCCTTCCTCTGTCTCCGGGTGATGTAAGAGTCCAAGTAATTACGACTACACTCGGCGATTTGGACCGCGAAATTATGCATGGGCGCGTGGAGAAGGGCGACCTGGGAACAGATGTATACGGTGTAGTTGATCAGATTGGAGAGAACGTTACGAGCGTTTCTCCGGGTGACCACGTTGTGGGGATTGCCCGTGGATCTTTACGAGACTTCGTTACATGCCATCACCGACTCCTGTATAAAGTACCGAGCTACCAACCCGAACTTCGACCTATCTATCTACCCACGAGTTTCTCTATTGCCAGGCATGCGCTTGGTAATCTCAAGGCTGGGAACACTATCCTAATTCATGCTGGCGCGGGAACATTCGGCCAAACTGCGATTCAGCTTGCCAAATCTGCAGGATCCGTAGTTTTCGCCAGCGCGGAGACTGACCATGAGCGTGGCCTTCTTAGCCATGTTTGGGGACTCCAAGAGGACTACATCCTTGACGCTAGAGTAGAAGCCTTTGTCGACACGATAATGTGTTTGACGGATAATGAAGGCGTAGACTTGATCTACGACCCAGTTGCAAGAAGCCGAGATTCGAATATCAGATGTGTTAAAGAAGGCGAGTTCTCTTAGTAAAATAGACGGCAAAGGAGATGTATTCGCTAATTGCTTCTATAGGTGGCCGGGTGATCAGTTTCGCTGACAAACCTGATCGTAGCGATATGACGACGTGTGAAACTGATATTATCGGCAAGACATTTAGCTGCACAACCATAAATGTATCACGTCTCATCAAATACCAACCGGATCGCCTTGGTGATGCTTTGACATCTATTTACCCCAAACTCTTGTCCTGGCAGTTTAGGAGCTGGAGTCAAGCTCCGCAAGATGTATACGACTACTCCGACCTGGCGGCTGCTTTCGCAGCATTGGATTCGGACACAGTTGGTGGCTATGTCTATTGCCAGCGACCCACATTGAAACCTATTCCAATCCTCCCACGAACTCCTCCTTCTGTAAGCTCCTACTTACACGGAGATGCCACTTATGTCCTGTCCGGTGGACTCGGCGGGCTCGGCATAGAGGTTGCTAAGTTGTTGACGGCCAATGGTGCTAAGAACATCGCGTTTTTAGGACGATCCGGCACGACGAACGACTTGGCTAAATCTTGCGTCAACTTTCTCCGCACGAAGCGGGTCAATGTGGAAGTTTTTAAGGTGGACGTCTGTAATACCGAAGCCCTTGGAAAGACTGTAAGCGAGATCCAGCAATCTATGCCTCCCGTGAAAGGTATATTTCAATGTGCGGCAGTACTGCGCGACTCGGTCTTCGAAAACATGAAGTACAAAGACTGGCAATTGGCAACAAAGCCTAAGACAGTAGGTTCCTGGAACCTCCACCAGGCCTTTGGCAACGATCTAGACTTTTTCATCTTCCTGTCTAGCTCAGCTGGTGTGATCGGAAATCGCGGACAAGCGAATTACGCAGCGGGCAATGCGTTCCAGGACTCGCTTGCTAGACATATCAAGACAACAAGTGAGGGCAAAGTGAACGCTGTATCGATTGATCTAGGCCCAGTCCTTGAAGCAGGAATGCTTGCTAATGATCCCGAGACGCTGGATAAGCTCAAAGCAAGCGGTTTCTTTGGAATTAGACTCGAAGATATCAAACGCATCATCGAGCGAGCGATTACCGGTTATATGGAAGACGGCCAGAGGATACCGGTGCAAGTTGTCACAGGAGTTGGAACTGGCGGGCTGATTCTGCAAAACAAACCGGCAGATCCTTACTGGACGCGCACGGCTATGTTCACCTATCTCAACCAGGTGGACATGCCAGAAGGTTTGGACAAGACTTTAGAAGAAGCTTCAGGCCCGCGGGAGGTTATGCAGAGATTATTAGCACAGGCAACAGATGCAGATGAAGCACGATGCATTGTTAGTAAGGGTCTTAGGGAGATGCTCTCAAAGAGCATGAATATGGAATCGGCAGACGTGGACGAGTCTAGACCTCCCAGTGCCTATGGTGTTGACTCATTGGTGGCAGTAGGGGTTCGCAACTGGGTCTCTCGAGAGTGTGAGGCTGATGTGAGCATTTTTGAGGTGCTCAGCGAAACTAGCATTGGCGATCTCAGCGCCACAATTGTGCAACGGCGAGAAAAGGGCTAATGCGAGTTTGGCTTGTGTGGTAGTACAGTGGCATAATGGGGGGTCGATTGTGGTTTTGCTTCAACATGTTCATACTTTGCTACATCGTATATAATACCTGATACCTAACGTATATAATGATGATATAACTACTTCTTATCTATGAAGCTCTATGAAGTTGCTTTTGTTAACGAGAAGCCTACCAGATTGAGGTATATAGGTACCTATTGTATCTTAGATGGATAACACATGATAGAATATGGGAGATGCCGGTGTCAGGTGAGAGCTTATTTGCGGATGAAGGTGGTGACGTATAATGGATGACGACGCGATAGATGCGCGTATGGTAACAATACGTGGGGAATTGGATGGCAAGGATATTATGTACATATGTATGTATATTGCTTAGCGGAGGATGACGAAGTTGGCTTTGAATTACGGCATGATTGGTAGAGGATAATCTTAGCCCGCATAATCTTTCTTATGTACCTCCTACATAGGTAGGTACATATGGTAGGTAGGTTAGGTACCTCAAGATATAAGTATAATCAGGTGGTACTTTCTACGGAATACGGCTGCGCGCATCGGATGTATTTAGGTCTGCATAAGCAGATAAGTATAACACATAAGGCAGGCGTCCTTAATCAAGACTGTACCTACTTGGCCAAGCCTTCCAAGCTTCTCGCTTACGGCTTCCTATTGGACCTTTAAATGGACCTTCTCACTTAGGCTCACTTAGGCTCACTTAGGTGGGTTTAATACAACTTCTTGACCCAAGTTTCATTAAACATCAGTCCGATTGAGTTCTGATTACACATTAACTAACAAAAAAAAAGCCCATAAGCCATATAAATTCGCTTGGCGGTTCATCAACAACTCATGATGAATCTCTTTAATTCACCCGCTCCTTTCTTTTTGGTTCCTGTTCTCTTTTTATTCCCTTGTCGCCTCTTCTAGTCTTCTATTTGTACCTATTAACAATAGAGGCAGAGAGAAGTAGGGTATACCGGCAAGTTGATTATTCGAGACCTTCATTATTTCCTCTCTTTTGACATTTGACGTTTGACGATTACCGGCACATCACTCAACCACACTTGAATATACATATCTGATTGCGTACGCAATATACTCGTACCGACCTATCGGATATCAATTCCCCCTTTCTTCTGTATCTTGTCAACTTGTCGACTTGTTAACCGCTAATTGACTTAAACCGGATCATCGGCGCGTGGCGACCAGTCATAAAACCAAGGCCCCGGCTAGCTTCTTACCTAGGTCAGCTTGGTGGATCGTACCCTTGGACTGGGCTGCCTAGGATCTGCCTAGATCTACCTACATACATACCTCTTGATAATATCTTGCATCTAACTTCTGTCGCTCTCTATCCCTTCTCACCTCCTAAGCCGGTGTTTTCTTTACTTCGAGTAGTTGTCGTGTCCCTTCGCTATGAGGTTCCTTTCAGCTCTCGCTGCCGCGTCCGTCGCGTCTATCGCGGCGGCTACCGACAGTACAAATTCCCAGAAAGTCATCCCCGTCAGCTTTGGCAGATCGACGAACAGACAGCCCGCGCTCCATAGACGTGCCGGTACCTATTCGCAAGAACTAAACAACAACTTGACCGGTGGCGGTTACTATGCTCAAGTCACCGTGGGAACACCTCCTCAAACTGTCGACTTAGTTGTCGATACTGGGAGCAGCGATGTCTGGATACTAGATAGCCGTGCGAACCTATGTCGCTCCAAGGCAATGCAGAACTACTACGGATACTGTTTATCTACGTATGATCCTTCCAAGAGTTCAACCTACTCTATCGTTTCTCAAGACGAATTCAGCATTCGCTATGTCGACGGTTCAGGGGCCGAAGGCGACTACATTCGGGACACCTTCAGCATTGGTGGAGCTAATATTACAAAGTTACAGATGGGCCTAGCCGAGAATTCCACCATCAACTCGGGCCTTTTAGGTATAGGGTTTGCTGCTAACGTTGCTGCCCTGACGCCGTATCCAAACATTATGAATTTGTTTGAAGATCAAGATCTGATTGCCATCCAAGCTTATAGCTTGTATCTGGTATGTGGTTCCCCTTTTAATTCCCAACTACCCAACGGCTTGTGTCGGATGTTTTAAAGAATGCTCTAATAGACTAACCATCATATAGGATGATCTATACGCCGAGACTGGAACAATCCTATTTGGTGGTTTAGATACTCAGAAATTTATTGGCAAGCTTAAGATTGTCGATATTGAACCGGACGGCACCGGCAATTACTCCTCCTTCACCGTCCCGCTCTCATCTTTAACCACGACCGCCGACAATGGCACAGTAACTAACTACACCCGATCTACCGTCTCAGTCATCCTCGATTCAGGTACTACTTTGACTTATGTTCCCTACACCATGGCGAACCGCATCTTCCGCGCCTTTGGTGCCGTAGACGACACCTCTGGAACTGGACTTGTCTACATCAACTGCGAACACCTGGACAACAAGAATTTTACTTTTGATTTCCAATTTGGCGGCAATGACGGCCCCATCATCCAGGTCCCCATTGATGAGATGGTCTTGGATAATGTAAAGCAATACATTGAATTAGGACTAGATGTGCCGTCTCTACCTTTCGATAATGTCTGCAGTTTTGGTCTGCAGGGGAGTTCGGACTATTATCTGCTAGGTGATACGTTCTTACGTTCTGCCTACGTAGTCTACGATCTCACCAATAAGAAGATCGGTCTCGCTCAGGCCAATCTTAATAGCACTGAGAGTAAAATTGTGGAGATCACCAAGTCTGGTATTCCCGACGCTAGTGGTGTCGCTTCTCAGGTTATCGCAACGCAAACAGCTGGTAGTGGCAATTCGCCTTCCGGGACCTCTTCAGATACGCCTGGCAGTGAGACCAGTGAGGGAGCCAGTTCTAGAGTTGTACCTGCACCGAGCTGGGAGGTTCTAGTTCTGGCCGGTATGGCAAGTCTGAGCGGCTTAATGGGTGCTGGGCTAGTCATGTTATAGACAGGATAATTAAGTACCACAACACGGCAAAACATAATTTATCTACCTAGGTACATATATGTGCTTAGAGGAACAGAAGCTTGATGAGCGTTGAACCTAGCAGAAGTCATGATACCCCAGAGATATGTAGAAACAGACAGGTTCACGTTGTACTATAGAATTTCTTACATACTCTTAAACGAGTAGTTTTATTTTTACCCTTAACAGTGTTGACACCGAGATGGTGACTTCCTGTATATACATAATAAATAGTAATTGACCAGAGCTGCAATGAGGCTCATCCTCCATTCCCATGGTTATCACTGCATACACGTGTTGATGGGTATCTCCCAAAGGATAAATTCTCTTGCTATTGGGAGCCTAGATAGGCATATATAGAACTTTTCATTCCGTATATAAAAGATAATATTGAGCGTAAAATAAACTTGCTGATGTCAACATCAAGCAACATGTAGCGGTCAATCGGGAACAATGGCGTCTATTGATACAGCCATTATTGTCCTTGGAAATGAGCTGATACGCTCGGCTTAAAACCCGTTCGAGATCAACCTCAATACTTAATAATACATAGTAATGCACTGAAGGGAAGACCCAACAGCATAAAAAGATAACATGCTAATTCATCTTCTCGTAGCGCTCTCTGGCCTTGTCCTTGGCCTTCGAGACAAAGTCCGAGTAGTCATTTTTCGTAGCTCGAGCAGCCTCTTCAGTAGCATCCCCAAGCTTGCCGCCCTCGGCTCCAAGACCCACCCCGGGAGTATAGGCCATGGTTTCGATGATAGCGGTTCGCCCACCCCCTTCAGCTCCGAGACCTTCGCCGGTGCTCCATCCCATTTTGGCCAGCAATCCTGCACCTTTTGATACCGTAGGCTTCGCGGGCGTTGCTTCCGCAGCTGGTCCTGCGTCTTTGGTTGTCTGGGGCTGCTTTCTGGGAAGGTGAGGCTTTGGTTTGCTAGGCTGATTGTGCGCCATTCGCCGCTCCTTAGCTCGATCCCGGTAGCTAGATACTGGCTCTTTACCGAGCGCCTTCAAATCTGCAGTTGCCTTGGTAATTGCTGTATCATTGTCGAGATTAGCTTTATGCATGTCGCTCATTTGCTCATGTCGGCGGAGCGAAGGTTCGTTCTTGAACTTCCGTCTACAGAGCAGACAACACATTTGATCAATATCAGCATACGACACAAAGGCCGTTCGTGTTGGGGCCGGAGTGCTCAGAATTACAGGACCAATGGCATTAGAACCAGTCACGGGTGCTTTAACTTCGACAGGCTCCGCACCATTGCTCGACTCCTTCGGCCCGTGAAGCTCGGCATGCTTGTTTGCCCACATCTGTAGTTGAGGAGCCATTGCGATGACCTTCTTTCCATTGGGCGCGGCAAGATCCTTCTCTGCTTTTCTCTTCTTCGAGTCTTTGCCCGGTGCTCGATCAGCGTCGTCCTTGAGTTGCTCTATGCTAGACGGCTTGTCCTCATATAAAGTTTCGTTGAATATGGTAAGCTCGTTAGCATACACTGATGGGTTCCAATATACCAATCTTAGAGATTGGTTATGGGTTGCCGCAAAAGTGAACTTACGATCCTCGCCTTGTATCGGGTGTAGCACGGGTATAAAGACGCCGGAATGGATGAATGCAATAGAAGCAGGCTTTGAGGCAATCGTAAACTGAGGGGAAGCATTGTACTTGGCCATAGCGGCTCGAGCATCGTCTAGGGTTGAGAATTCGGCAAACCCATAATTACAACTGATATCCAAGTATTTGTCCCGTATCATAAAGACGCGCACCAGCGAGCCAGGCTTGGCACCTAACCCGCTAGTATTGCCAATTGGAGCTGTACTCCTGAGTTTGTTAGGGGCGCTGGATGATTGTTTAGGCTCTTCATCCTTAGTTACATAGAGCTTCTTAATGTCATTGGCCAAAGTAGTCTCGGTAACAGAAGAAGCTAATTCGCGAATGACGATGAACTGGGATGGTGTTTGTTGTGGACATTCATCACTTTTACCATCGAGCTTCATATCTGCGGTATTCTCCGCTGGTGCTAATAGTTAGCTTTATCGAGGACATGGCAATTCTCTTATGGGTGTAACTTACATGTCCTAGGTGCTTTGCATTGCTTACAAGTTGCTCGGCGGGAAAAGTTCTCGAAATGACACTATCGACTCGAAGTTAGGTAAATTAAGGGGACGGCATGAGCGGGGATTTGCGATTTACCATTGTGCATTTCCAATCGTCCGGATTTGCGATATGCCGCCGTTCTCGACTATATTCTATAGGTATACGAATAGAGGAACCGTGAGGGTTAGCGATGTCAAGAGCAGGGTAGTTTCTCTCGTAGAAGCCGATAGCATCGTCTTCGGACCTAAATTCAGCAAATGCGTACAACCGACGATTGCCTATTGCGTTTAGTGGCGGTTCGGTATTCGGAAACAACGAGACCATACCGCTTCTATCATCTGACTTGATACGGATTTCAATAAGGCCGGTAGCTCCCATGTCCCGCATGGTAGAATCAATCTACTAAGGATTTAGTATGCCGAAGAAATGGGCGAGATACAGCAGGAATACCTCTTGTGTGCTCATCCCGTCAGGGATATTATCCAACTTCAGGGTATGGTAGGGTCGTCCTGATCTAGGCCGGCGGTTATCGTGGTAGTAACTATCATCACCAGAATCAAAAGGTGAGGAACCACCTGAGTTGGCGCGCCGGGGACTTCGACTATAACGTCCTCGGGGATCGTCGTGATCTGTGTAGTGTCGACCCCGACCATGGTCGTACGGGGGCGAATATTCGGGTTCGCGGTCGTAGGGCTCGCCGCCATCTTTCACAGCGCGGCCCAAGTAATTATTACGATATTCAGGAGAGGTATCTCGTCGATGAGGTGAATTGTGTCTTCGTCCGACAGGAGAACGCCGGGTACGGTAGGATTCCTCCCCTCTTGGTCCCTTTGGAGGCGTCCTTCTAGGCGATCTAGAGGATTCTTTTCCTCGCAGGGAAGTCAGCGCAAGCTCATTATTCATCTCTACAAGCGATCCTCCAGGCTATATCATTTTACCATGCCGCGAACGATAGTGGTGGTCCCTAGGAGCGGGCGATCTACGTCTGTGGTAGTCTCGCTCGTCGCGAGGCCGATGATCGTAGTCGTCATACATGTCGATGTCGATATCGGCGTTATGCGCCCATTAGACTCAATAATGCGAAGGGTGGTTGTTTTACGCCGAACATGCGCGATTCATAAAAGTAGATAATGAGATAAAAAGTTGAACGGTTGTAACCTTGCTGTTCAAGGTAAAGGGTAGAAGTGCCTAAAGGTCAGATGGTTGTGTTACGTAAGTGCATAAGGTTCATTCTTTCAGCATGCATAGTGTATATATATGTACATAGTTACATAATAAAAGTTAATCTTATCTTGCTTATCTAAACAACCCCGGATTCTAGAACAGATGACAGGTAGTTAGATACTAACTAGGTTAAAATAGGAAGAAAATAGTAGAAACATCAACGCAAACGCAAACGCAAGTCCAAGTCAATAAACCTCGAAATACACGTAAATTCAATAGATAGGTACTTATATAGGTATTTATATATTTATATTCGGTAAATATCTGGCACATCAGTATTCATTTCACTAGTCTCAATCTTCATCAATTTAATCTCTTTTTCCTCTCTTTGTCGCCAACTCTCGGTTACCTATACGAAGAAGATGGACCTCGAAATAACTGAACTTAAAGAGGATGCCTGCTACGTTGCACTTACCCACGACTATCTCGACGTGAAGGGTGTGATGGATAGGGTTCGTAGCTCTCAAGCAGGTGCAATAGTCATGTTTGCGGGTCAGTCAGTCACACTACACCGTCTTACCATCTCGCAAGGTAATCGTTATTAATACTTTGAGCCTACATCCTCATGCTTTTGTAGGCACCACTCGTGATAATTTTGGCGGAAAGCCGGTGAAGGAGCTCCAGTACTCTGCTTACAACCCGCTGGCCTTGCGCACTATGCTGTCCATATGCAAAGAAATCCATACCGAGTATGGCCTCATAGCAATAGCCATGGTTCATCGTCTTGGAACCGTACCCATCGGGGAGGAGAGTATACTCATAGCAGTATCTGCCCCGCATAGACAGGCTGCATGGCGAGCTGGTGAACGAGCCCTTGAAGACTGCAAAGAACGTGTTGAAGTCTGGAAGAGAGAAGAGTTTGAAGGCGAAGACGGCGTTTGGAGAGCCAATAGGGACGGCGCAATAGGAACATTTACATCTTGATTCGCTATCCTACGTCCGCCTACACCAGCACCGAACCTAGTAACCTGAGGCTTATGGAACCTGTCAACAGGGATACCCTAGGATGGTGTCTTATCTATCTGCTAAGAATTTAATAAGGAAATGCATTCGATTCGACTTACACATATAAATAGTATGGGTGTGCGGCATACCGGATATTATGTATTAGATACCTAGGCTCCTACTTGAAGCCATATATTAAGTATTTCCCCAGAACGATGCTCTAAAAATATCTTCTCATTGTTACTAACTGAGCACATCGAGATTGCCGGTTCTAAATGGGACGAGAGTAACAATAAGCTGTCCTATTAATTAACCGGTTAAATGGCTGCTGTTAAGCCAAGGAGGGCCTCGATTCTTGTATATAATCGAGATGGTGTGTTTAGGAGATACTAAAATATTATTTTCGTATCTGTCATCTTATGCGGATTTTTCTGTCCTTTCTCGTTATCTGGACAGAACAAGAAGAAAACCCTCTATTACCTGACTACATGTGACCCATGTCGTATCACGAGACTACATGTAAACAGGCATTTGGTCTGTTACGGTTTAGATTAATGCAGGTGTGTATGTGACCGGGAACGGAGCATAGAACATCGCGAATCTGAACTGGGTCGGACCGAATCTGCCAAGCCATAAGGTACCTGTAGTGAGGTACCTATAGTGAGGTACATCATGTAAGCAGTACCTATGTATATACCTCTTACATGCAGGTGTAAGACTCTTATCTCTTTCAATACCAAATCTGATTGGACTTTTAAAACTGCAACTCTTCAACTCAGGGTTGCATGCAGAGACACAGCACAATCGGTGAAGAGTGGCTTTACGACGTACATACATTATATGTACATACCTAGGGAGTGATCAACCATGGGCCATGGACAATGGTGTAACACTCCCCAATCTAGAGCTTTCTGCTGTTGAATATTCATTCTATCGACTATTCTATCTAGCCTTCATATAATACTTCCATGGGAAACATATCAATCGGCTCGGTCTAGACATTGCGGGAATGGCAACGGCAATGGCAATGCATGCAAGCTACTTAGCTGCACGTTCCAACGCCATGTAGAAATAAGCCTCACAACCCTTTCAGCCCTCTTCTGGGGTTGGTCTTGGCGCAATCCATCCATGAATCCATGAATTCAAGCTGCTACCTCAACGACGAGTCTATAGAGACACGTCATATCTCTACAGCTTCCTGGTTCCACTGCGCTGGGTAGGGTATTGGTCGTAGTCTATGTCGCATGCTCGTCGCCTTCATCCATCTTGCCATTCCCGTTGGTATGGGCAATGCCCCAAGCACTCGACCGGGTACGGCTGTTTGTGGCGTCTTCAATGCCTCACTTCTTCGAGCAATTAATGGCTTATAGTCCAAGATGGCGTATCTTATGCGACATCGACTAACTTCCTTCGACGTTAAAGGTAAGAATATGAAACATGGATTTCTCGTTAAGTTATCTCCCGCATTATGCTGATTGGGCCCCTCGCTTGTTGGTTATCACCTAGGTACCTATCATAAGTTTAATAGGGATGGGATGATACATTTTCTTATAATACCTGATAACTAATTAGTATCTCAGTATCCCACCCTCTTAATACAAAGCATATTCTAAGTACCTACACATACAGGTCTTAAAGGGGTAAGGTCTACGGACGGAAACCCGTCTTCTCAATTCTATTTCTACGGATGGGCCCACTCAGGATAATATGTAATGGCTAAGTATATCACCATGGTACAACTCGTTGCGTTGCGGTTGTCCATCCACTTGGAGTTATCCAATTTAGGCAGGTTACCCATGACTAGGGTATATGTATGCATATCTGTCTCCCCCATAACATCCAATCTCGAAAGTAGCAAAAAACTAGTTCCCCACGCCGGGGCTACCACTCGCCAGGTATCACAGCTCGTGGTCTCACCCAGCCCGGCTTCGACGACAGGTGGGAGAAACAATATGGTCTAGGGTCCCACCCGAGTCCTACGAAGAACATTGGTCGCACATGCCTCCTCTTTTTTGAGCTGATCTACACCGGTATATAAAGTCACAAGCGACCCCTATTAGTCTCAGGTCTAGGCTATGCCCTCTGCTCACTTCCCTCTTCTGTTGTGCTACGGTCAGGCTAAATATGAGCATTTGCTTCTGACATCATTATAACTCTTCCCCGGGCGTCGACATGGGTTTCAACTTTCGTAAACGCGCTGTCGCGGAGGAGATCACTCCGGCCAGCACATCCTCTAGTGAAGTCATAGAGGTCACCGGTGTTGAGGCTCTGAATACTCTCAAGGGCTTCGAAGAACAACACAAGCTTGATCCCAATTTGCCTATTGAGGAGCTTAACGAGGTCGGTACGGCTATTGCTTCTGGCGATGTCGAGAAGGGTGCAGAGATTGAAACGACCCTACTTGAAGAAAACAGTCCTTACCCCGAGGTAGGTTCTTACCCTAGTCGCATACGACCTGCTAAAATATCTAAACGAGTGAAAAGGTGCGCGCTGCAGTAAGGAACTACGATGTCGACTTGCCAGCTAATACAATTCGTGCCTGGGTAATCGGCTTGATTTTGTGTACTTTGGGCTCAGCCGTAAACATGCTCTTTTCCTTGAAGAACCCTACTATACAAATTACCACGTACGTTATCCAGTTGGTTGCGTACCCTATTGGGCTAGGATGGGACTTGATATTCCCCGACCGACAATTTAATATATGGGGGATAAAGTTTAATTTCAAGCCGGGCAAGTTTAATTTTAAGGAGCATGTCATTATCGTCGCCATGTCGAATGTGAGTCTTTAAAAAATACGGCTGAGTGGATGGAAGCTGAACCTTGACTAGGCCGCTTATGGTGGAGGCTTTCTGTATGCCACCGACGTCTTAATCGCTCAGCAGGTCTTCTGTGAGTTGTGCCTCGAAGTACTAGCTCTACAAGATAACTGATACTCAGAGAAAAGATAAGCAATACTTCGGCTGGGGCTTCCAAATCCTATTTGGCATCACTACGCTTTGCACGGGATACGGTCTAGCTGGTTTGGCCAGACGCTTCCTCGTCTGGCCGGCTGCGATGATATGGCCTTCCGACCTCGTTAACGCTTCGTTGTTCTATGCTCTTCATGATCATTCTCCTTCCGATCCTGCTGAGACGAATGGCTGGAGAATCAGCCGATATCGATGGTTCTTATATGTAACGATAGGTGGCTTCGTATGGTATTGGTTTCCAGGCTGGATTTTTCAAGGGCTATCTTACTTCACATTCGTATGCTGGGCTGCCCCCCAAAACGTTGTTGTCAACAAGATCTTTGGGGGTTTGCACGGATATGGTCTCTTACCGACAACTCTAGACTGGACTGTCATTTCTGGCTATGCGCTATCTCCACTCATTCCGCCTTTCTACGCCGTAGCCAACGCCGTAGCGGGTGTGGTTATCTTCTTCATTTTGGTTTCTATGGGCCTGCATTTCTCTGGCACATGGTACGCCGACTACTTTGTTGTCCAGTCGTCCAGTGCCTTTGACAATACCGGCGCCGTCTACAACGTCTCGAGAATCTTGAACGACGATTTGACCTTTAACGAACAGAAGTATCACGATTATTCCCCCTTGTTCCTATCTACTCAGTTTGCCCTTACTTATGGGATGTCCTTCGCTGCCGTCGCCGCCGTAGTCGTTCATGTTATTCTATATCATGGGAGGCAAATCGTCTCGCAATTCAAGCTTGCCCGTAGGCAGGAGGATGACATCCACATGAAGCTAATGAGAAAGTACAGGGACGCCGAGGATTGGTGGTACCTTGCCCTCTTTGCTATAATGATTGGGTTGTCATTTGTTGTGTGTTGTGCTTGGCCTACAGGGTTTCCTGCTTGGGCTTATGTCGTCTGCATCTTAATCCCATTGGTATGGACAATACCGATAGGCATTATTCAGGCCATCACAAATATTCAGCTCGGGCTGAACGTCTTAACCGAATTTGTCATTGGTTACATGTTACCTGGCCACCCTCTAGCCATGATGATGTTCAAAAACTATGGCTACATCTGCATGCAACAAGCCCTTGTAAGCAGTACATTTCCGAAGTTCATTTTCGAATCACTTGAACACGTCCAGCGAGTTTCAGATACTGACTCTAGACTATAGTATTTTGCCCAGGATCTCAAGCTCGGTCACTATATGAAAGTGCCTCCCCGTGCTATGTTCTGGTCACAGCTGGTAGCTTCCTTATGGTCAGCCGTCGTCCAGATCGCCGTCATGAACTGGGCTCTAGGAACTATCCCGGATATTTGCTCTAACGACCAACCCGATAACTATGTGTGTCCGAATGGCAGAGTTTTCTATACGGCATCCATTATATGGGGTGCTATCGGCCCTGCGCGAAGTAAGTAAATTTTAACATTACACAATTCTCTAAACATCTAGCCGTCATCTTCCTACAAGCAAAAATACTAATATATCCTACAGTGTTTAGTGGTGATGCCATCTACTCATCGCTGCAGTGGTTCTGGCTCGTTGGCGCCATTACTCCTATAATTACCTGGTTCTTAGCCCGTCGCGCTCCTAAGTCGATATTCCGATTTATAAATATACCACTTATTTTCGGAGGTTCTGGTTGGATTCCACCTGCCACGGCATATACATATCTCTGCTGGGGTACAGTCGGCTTTATATTCAATTACTATATCAAGCGAAGGTGGAATGGCTGGTGGATGCAGTATAATTATATCACATCGGCAGGTTTAGACGTAGGCCTAGCGGTTTCGACTATTATCATCTTCTTCACCCTCTATCTCACCTCTGCCAAGTTGCCTAGGTGGTACGGGAATTATGATGTGTTTGATACGCTGGACCAGACCGGGTTGGCAATCAAGAGCTTCGTCGCTGACGGGGAAACATTTGGGCCGGAGACCTGGGCCTGACCCATGCGTATTATTATTTAACGTATTTATATGATAATTGATTTAATGATGACCATATCTTTTAAGTTTCTTAGAACCGAAATATGTATTCAAGAGCTATGAGTATATCATCATAAATTATTTAAGCCACAAGGTATATGAGTAAGGGCAAAGTTCAGAGTCAAAGGACCGTAAAGGCAGCGAGTCCGTTTCACGTTATCAGCATTCCGTCAACCCCGACTACACTGCCATTCATATATCTAGCCTCTTCACTCATCAAGAAGGCGACAACCTAGATGATCTACTGTTAGTTTTCGCACGATAACGTAACGCTTTAAGAATGGTAGTCATGTAGCATCAAATACTTACGCCTGCAATATCCTCCGGCGTACCCATCCTTCCCAGAGCATTACCTTGCTCCATACGTTGTCTTGCCTCGAGCGTCCCCCTAACGATTCCCGCATTTGTCGGAGTGTTAATGTATCCCGGCGCGACAATATTCACTCGGATGCCTTTTGGTCCTAGTTCAAGCGCCATACACTTACTAAAGCCGATGACACCGAACTTGGTCGCGCAATACACGGCTGTTCCCGCGTCGGGATTCCATCCGGAGATAGAACTTACGTTGACGTAGCTGCCACCCGGGGCTGTCATGTGCGGAATAGTAGCTTTAGTCACGTTGAACATGCCTTTTAGATTGACACTAATGAGCTTGTCGAAATACGCCTCGCTTGTTTCCGTCAGGGACATGGCGGTTGGGTTGACGCCGGCACAGTTGAATACGTGATCAATGTGCCCGTACTTAGTCACGACTTGGGCTACGCGTTCTTCCACGTCGGTGGAGTTGGATACATCAAGGGTATGAATAGTGTGATGCTCTGAATTGCTACCGCCGGAACAGAGTGTGAGGGTCTCAGCTAGTGCAGGCTCATTGACATCCGTAATGGCGAGAATAGCACCCAGGCTATTTAATTTAATTGCCGTACCCCGTCTAAGGGATAGGTGTAAATGTGTAAGCTATAGATGCCACTTCATAGAGGCTAGATAAAAAGATAGATGCGATATAACTTACCCAATACCGCTCGCCGCGCCGGTGAGGAGGATCACTTTACCAGAAAGATTTGAAGACATAGTGAGGATGTAGTATTTGATTATAAGACGTTATTTCGAAGATGAACTTTAATGTATCTATCTTCCAAAGACTTACAAGTCTATTACACTATAACATTCCCCCACTTATGTAGCACTCCCCACCCGAGCTCAGAGGACGTCTACCTCTCGGTGCTATGATACGGAGGACATATGTTTATTAGATAGGGCGTACTTGGTATCCTACGCCCCTACGCTCCGATGATAAAGGAGAGTCGGGCTAGAGAATTATAATACTTGAATAATACATAATACTTGCATAATACATAATACCTGCATTTTAGCCTAGTGGCGAGCAAAAGCGAACGGAATTTTATTTAATTCCCATTAGTTCAAAATCTTATCTCGACGTTACAAAAACATTGCCAAGAGTGGGAGGTGGGAGTCAAGCCATACAGCTAAAAAAGAAAAAAAAAAAAAAAAAAAAAAGGACATTTTCATGGGGAAGTAGAGTTATTGTATTATTCCCTAGGATCTCTCATACATATGTCATCCGACTATATTCCCTTCGCGGCCCCAAATGAGCCTGCGAAAATAGAAATCTATCCCTATCCATAAGTACGAGTAAAACTGACGCCAGGGTATAATATAAGCTGAAAAATGCACCGAACTCCGTGCCCGTTTTTAACGCCAAAAATCACCAAAGAGGGAGAGAAGCGTCACTGCAGCGCTATGCAGCGCAGGCTCTTCATTCGTAGAATCGTTCATCCCATTCGTGTTCCAGCACCTCGAGCGGAAGAGGCCACCAGGACATTAAGGGACCCTCAATGTCGGAGACGTGCTGATGTTGCAATGGCTTCTTAGGGGCCTTGTATTCAACCGCCTCTTCCTCGATCCATTCGTGCTCTATTAGGTCCTCCGAGGCGGGCCACCATGACATCAGCGGCCCCGAGATGTTGGAGATGTGATGTTCCTCCGGTGTAGCTATGTGGACCTGCTTGGGCCGGGCGTCTAGTTCGGATACGGGCGCTGTGACATGCGACGTCTCCTCCTCCTGTCTGCCGAGAAAAACGGGAAATTCGAAGCCGTCTTCAAATCTTAGTGGACCAGTCCGGGAAAAGGGATCCAATGAGGATGGTAAGTACACACCTTCGTCAAAGTCAGAATCGCAGTCGCTGAAAACAGGAGTTTCGTTGGTATCTGATTCGGGTGTCTGTATGCCCGATGGCAGGGACTCTAATGGTGTTGTGTAGCCATCACGGTAGACGTGGTTGACAATAACCTTGTCCTTGTGGCCGTTGCGGTGTAGATGGTTAACATAGAGTAAATGTGAAAGGTCGTCTTCATTATAGATGGCGACCTGAGGATCGATCTTAGTGTCTTCTGGAACTGTGCTGGGTTCGACGTGAGCGACAACCTGAGTGGCTGCCATTTGCTCAAGCTGAAAGATATCACCCTGCATGATTGATGGCTTGTTAGATGCTTTGATCTAATTAATTGATCTGATAGATAGTAGTAGTTGATCTTGGATCTGATGTAGATTGATGGATGTGTAGTTAGATTATCTCCTAGGCCGATGTCCCATTTTATATACAGAGGCCAAGAGTATATTATACATACATGCCATGATGAGTCGAGTAATAAAAAAAAACAATCACAAGCTATTCGACCATCATACTAGAACCATGCTCGAACTATTAGATCCGAAGTATTCTCGTCTCATCAGACCAAGCCTAATAGCTTGGACAGTTCCGTTACGCTTAGGCGGATAACTCCCTCTGGCGAAAAATGAAAAGAAGGAGAAAAAAGCGGGTTTACAGTGGCGTGTTCTTGAATCACTATGCTATTGATTATCGTATGATCAGGGGTCAACCAGTCGAGCCAGCTGAGCCCTGCTACCTGTTGGAATGTTACGGGGTGGCCGTTAAGAGCCATCAAGCTTGCGACCCGGCTTCACCCGACCGAGAGGCCAACCTAATCCGCCCCCAGGCCTTAATAGAGGGTTTTTTTTTTTTTTTGAAGCTACGGGATGAATCCTAGCTTTATTTTGGGTGACAATAGCAAATAATGGAAAATATTGGTCCTTTCTTCCTCTTTTTTTTTTTTTTTTTTTTTTTCCTCGACTACCCTAACTATCAAGATGATGATGAATGGTGTTTAATTCTCGCTATCCACATATTTCTATTACAATTACAAAAAAAATTTCTTCTTGTTTTACCCGACTAGCAAAACCTGTCAAAGCTACTTTAAGTCCAGATCGCGTTTCGCCGTCTTCAGTTGCACATGTCATTCATAGAGTTCTGGGCACTCATCTCATCTACCCACTTCTCTATCACCTCTTATACATACATATCCATCGCATTAGTATTATTATTATTCTTTTATGGAATGCCTTTTTTAGTCATACAAGAAGTTCTGTTCACAAACTCGTTAAAAAGCTGTTATCGGGTTTGCATTAATACAATACCGTAAACTTACCCGGATTTCCTGAAGAACTTCCTCCTGTACAGTCTCAAGGTCCCTATTAGCATCCACTCTAGTTATCTGCATGCCCGACTCTTCAAGGGCGACGAGCATCGCTTCGCTCTCCGCAATAGAACGCGTAATTCTTTCCCGCGTTCCCACCTTATTGGCATCGTCCGGCCGCCCTGATGTCGAGGCCCGTCCAAGTATACGTGCAAACGAGACTTCGGGAGGACAGGTCAAGTAGAGTATGCAACGGGCCCGCGGCATCTGCGCTACCCATTCCGTTACATGCTGTTCTCGGCGCGGAAAGCCATCCACGAGCCAAGCCAACTGCCCGTTCCGCGCTACTCCGTCTTCAATCGTATTCCGAAGCAATGTGACCGCGGAACGAGCAGGGGTATTTGGTCTGTCGGTCCCTTCACGCCGCGGGAAACTACTGACCCAAGAGCCAGGGATTCTATCCTCGTAACGAATTAAGTCGCCATAGGATAGGTGAGTTAGACTAGGAAATGTCGCATTAAGGAACTTTGAAATTGTACCTTTCCCTGTACCAGGCGCTCCCAATATGAAGATGATAAGCGGCTGGGGAGGAAGACGTGATTTGTATAAACCCGTTGATGCTTCCCGCAGTACACTTGGGAATCGATAGCTTGTTATACTTCTGCTATCCCAACCAACTAAGGGGAAATATAGAATGCCGCCGAGGTTGACTCTTGAAAGCAAGTGTCGAATTGCTGTAGCAAAAGCTTTGAGCATTTTGGTTACCTTTAAACGAAGTTATTAGCCTATACTATATCGAGAGAACGCGCCAGGGACCAGCCATTGTCTACATTTATACAAGCAACAATTGGCCTCGGTGATTAAAACCAACTTACTATTTATTACTTGAAAAGATCGCGTTATTCGAGAATAATAGCTATAAGTCGGATTGCCGAGTATGGTCTTGTGTCAGCTGCATGAGGTGAAATCCAGCGGTTTTATACTTACTCTATCTATAGAGCTGTGCTATCCGTGCGCCATACTCGTAGAATGTATGGATGTTTCCTGACTCGGATCGCTCGAAGTCGTCTCTCTATGCTTCATTTCTGTCTCACACGCTAGTTCCCGACTTGAAAAATCGCGAGGTTTCGCCCGCAGCCACCTACGCACGCGAACAAGTCTCGTAGCTGCTTGAATAAACCAAACGGGCCATCTCGACTGGATGGAATTGCCCGTCTTAGTAATTTTACCAAAGCAAACGGCTTTTTCGATTTTTCATATCGGTTAGAGTGAGGCTATACTCGTTTTGTTACTATTTGGGTGGTATTCGTAGCAAACGCCCAAGAGTATGCTGGCAGCCGATACAATCCTAGTCGGCTTATCCGTGCTTATCCCGTTAATTTGCTAGTTACTATTTTTCTGACTGATCATGTTATGGGTATCACCAAGTATAGACTTAGAGGGTGAGTGCCCGTGATTCTAAGAAGAAGCTCTCCTCAATAATCGATTCCAAGGCACTCTCTTATAGGAAATATTATCTACGCACCTAACGCTCTATGTATGCTCTTACTAGGTACCTGCATTTTAAGTCGCCTGAAAGTATGCGTGCTACTTGATTTACTGAATGTCGCTTTACCCCTATTTACAGTCCTGCTAGCCTCTTATCGCTGATACTTTCGAAAATTGGCCCAAATCTGCCGTAGCGGAGACCTCCACGCCTCCTTGGCAACGTCCAAAAGCCGGTGAGTATATTGGCTCCCTCGGGAACCTGATAAACTTTTGTTTCGGCGATTTTAGGTCGACCAGGACAAGATCGATCAAGGATATATATGGTCCGATTAACGACGCGCTTATTGATATTTTCAACACTCAGCCGTGAAAGGTCTATTTTCCGGCCGGAGGCTGTCAAAAACTGGAAAACATTTTATCGTTAACGACCCTTGATTCGCGGTTAGAGTAAGTCAAGAGGTGGTGCAGCTCACATTGATGTATAGGATATGGTTCTGTCGGGTACCTCCTATCTCAACTTGTGCTAATTTCTCGTCGGCAGGAATATCTATTCTTGTTGCCCCTTTTACTCCGATACCAAGTGTCAGAAACTTCCCATTTTCGTAGATAAGGCTGAGACCACATATCTCGTTGGTAATCTGCCTAAAAGTAACTTCAATAGCTATAGCAGGATTTAGGCGACCATCTTCACACGTCTCTTGCATAAACGCCCTCTGCACGACTGACCAAGAAGGGAGTAGGTAGCCAGCCGAACCTATGAGCAATTGCGTGTTGGATGCGTCTATTTTTGGTGTGTAGAAGATGCGGACATGGTCCCACTACAGCAAAATACGTTAGCATAATCTGTACTAGAGAATAAAGAGCCGTCTCAGGAGCAGCTAGACTGCATGAGCTCTCAGGGAGCAACTTATCTACATTGAGAAGAAGCCCGGGAGTACGTGTAGGGAAGGTTAGAGAAATTTTTGAAATAACATAGAAACACGTACTTCATGATTATAACCCCAAAGGATGCCACTCTTTACTTTCCAATTAGCAACACATATCGTCTCTAGGTAGTATTTATAGTTAAACTAACCAGAATTTCATATGGGTTTTCTCGATACTCTAGACATATTTCCCCGCCCTTATGGTCTTCTAGAAATTCCTTGCTGACACCACGGGCGGTTACTATTCGTAGCCTCCTGAGCGGGCCATACTTGATTCGTTTATAGGGATTTGTGTAATCGTGCCATGTTATTACTTCCGATATCCGGTCACCTGGAGTGATGTCAATGGCATCTAATTCGTTTACCCATTGCCCTACGATGACTGGTATAGTAGAATTATCGTATTCGAGCCAGAGACCTGTTATATGTCTCGGTGAAGTTATTTCCTTTATATTGTCTATTGAAACACGAATTCTCCGAAGGCGTGAAAAGTCTGCGGCGGTGATGGCAAACCCTCTGGGATATGCTAACATATCCTGAGCTGAATCCAATGTCTCTGCGGTGATAGGAATAGAGTGTGTAATGCCCAAATTCCCAAGTAGAGGTAGTTGCGAGTCCGTATTTATAACCTGACGTCGTGCTGAGAAATCTAGGAAGTGCCCCAATGGCGACTTGAAGTGGCGTATTTAGTCAGAGGCAAGCAATACGATTTAGTGGCGCATCTCTTACATGGACCTTTGCATAAAATGCCGTGAAATGATTCCCAGGTTCAGCTTGTAGCACATGGCTTTTCTCTTCAGTTTCTCCATATTCTTTACCGTAGAGGTGAAAGTGTTTCTCTCTTCCTAGGCTGGTGGTAATCTAATACAAATATTGGTTCGTAAGCAATTTCCTATCATTTAGCGAGCACTGCCGTCTTCTATCTGGAAAGGGTAAGAGGGGAAATGGGTGGATCGTACCGTGATGGCCTGGACTGTGTCCGGATAATAGTAGGCGATGATCTTAGTTATAACCTCACCGCCCGGGCCGTCAATTGGGAAACATTGTCGAATTGCTGGCGTTTCAATTATCTCGTCCAAACTATTCCTGAAGTTCTTGCGCCCATAGAAGCGCTCACTCCTATCATTATAAATGAATGAAATACCCGTGAACACTGAGGGGTATTTTCCCATGAATACATCTATTCTGACCAGTGATTGTAGTAATTTTCCATCAGTTCCACCGAAGTCCATATTGAGACACAAGTTGAAGTATTGTGTGATAAGGGGAGCAGGAAAAGGCCATGTTGGATGGACCGTCGGAATGCTTGGATTCCATATTTCTCCAGCGCACCATTCTTGGGGAGAGACTGGAACTGCTCTGCTATTAATAGGGGCCAACGACGCTGGGACTGGTTGTTCTATAAGTGAGATAGAGATGATTTTGCAGGCCTGTAATAAGAATTAGCTCTCTCATGCATTATTGTGATCTGATTTAACGTACGTCAAGAGCAAAATGAAAGCCGACACACTGCATATTGTCTCCTGGTGTTAGTCTGCCTATCCCGCTCTGAGGTTCTGTAAGTTCCATGTCCCCTATCGAGACGGAATATGAGCTTTGAATCCCTCGAATATGAAAACGCAATCCGACTAAACCTTTCGTCTCCATAACGGCCTCGATATACTCTATAGAACTCTGAGGCTCCAAAGATATTTCGTGTCCTTTACGCGGATTAATAAATCCGACCTTTTGCGGTGCAGGGTCCCCTGGATTAGCAGCTAAGAAATGGAAACCGCTTATATATGTCTTTCCATTCGAGTAAACAAATGAAGCCCGTAGCCGTTGGGGTATGGAACCCAGGGAATGAGGCCAAACGAGGTTTTGGCGCCTAAAGAGCCTACAGCTCAAAGACAGTGGTCTCTTTATAGTTGTGCTACAAGAATAAAAGGATGCTTCTGCAAACACTGGTCTTTGGGGGAACGGCTCCAAGTTCCAATACGGGGGGTCATCTCCGCACGGGTCGTTTGCCAGACGTACGTATAAGGCGTCGGTCATATGTTGAAATATATGCCAAATGCGATGTCGGTTTCTTAAGCCATGGAATAATTCTGATTTCAATGCTCCTTTCTACGTATCCAAGTATCGTTAGGTAATTGAAGTAGCGGGTAAAGTAAAGGTAGAAGAAGGTAGAAGAAGAAGATGCAAGCAATTTCAAGAGAAAATATAGTGGTTCTTGTAGAAATATTCTACACATACAGCTTTGAGGTATAGCGCCCGCCAATCTGCGGGCTCAGCCGGCCTTGAGTTGGAAAGGCCGGCAAAAACGAAACCCATTTCAAAATCCGGGCCGAACCGGCTAGACCAGAACTTCTGATCAAGGAACTCTGGAGAGGAACGATCAGCCGTGTATCTTGAAGCGAGCCGTAAGTTGCAAACATCTCGACTTGGTAGTTGGGCAAGGATGAGCACGATAAGCTCGCTTGGAAGAAGTAAGAAAGGATCTGGCTTAGAGTAATTCCTATGTTTCGTATAAGAGTTGGCCAAGTAAGCGTAAAAGTATTTGGCTTCATTCTCAAGACTTTCCTCTTCAGGTACAAACTCCTCAGTTATGTCGCCCGTGATGAATGAGTAACTAGTCAAATTCACACGAGTGAAATAGCGGCCATGGACTTCTCCTTCGCGTGGGTGGAGTTGACTGGCGTGTCCGTAGTTATGGCCAGGTACTAAAGCCTCACTCTCGGCACTCACGGGGGTATTGAATAGTATAGCAAAGAGATGATGTGCTAAGCTGTTAACAGGAACCTCATGATTCGGATCAACACGTTCTCTGAGAAGCTTCCAGCAGGCATCGTGGAGGACATAACACCAATACTCGGCAGGTTCACATTGTGGATAACCGATTTCATGTGTCGCGAAATCCTGATGTAGATCTTGCAGCGGTTCGTAATTACGATAGTGACTGTCATACTCGACGGGGGCGATGACATTTCCCTCTATATCGAGCCATCCAGTTCCCGTTATAAAAGAACCTTCAAGTTCTTCCGTAGTCCGTACTAAAAGAAAGGTGAGATTTTTGGTTTTAAGTATTATGATCTGAGACTGAGACTGGGACTGAAACTATTTCTTTTTTTCATACATACACGCTCGAACTTCTTGTAACCAATTAAGACGATAGTCGGGATTTGCAAGATTATCATCAGGTGTTAACCACACATCAACTAGGACATCGCAGAGAGGACAGAATCTAGACTTAGTAGACATAACGAATGAGGATGTAGGACATTGGACGTGAATAATTTATAACTTTATGTAGGTAAGTGTAGTTAATGTATGTAGGTACCCAAAGTTTTAAAATAAGGTATAAAGCTGCCTACATCTTAATCGATAGATAGATGAAGTATTCCGTATTCCGTTTCCCGTTTCCCGTTTCCCGTTTTCCCCTCTACCAATAAAATCCACTCCCGGTACTGCCGACTTTGTTAATAAGCACCTAGGTATATAATATATGTCCATCTGTTTATAATATTTATTAAACGCGGGTTGAGTAACACATGAGAAACTCGACGAAAAAACTATCAGGTCATGAAGATGTAATTATTTGCATCTACATAGGTGATCAATATAAATCGCATCATCCCAAAACAACCAAACCGAAACCCTGTAGAACTAGCCCGCATACCATTAACCTAGGCATATACTGCTATTACAAATTACAATCTTGCTATAATTTGTTACGAGTAGCAACATCAACCACAATAATAACATGTAAACCCGAGGGTCGTCACGAGCCTCACTTAGAAAATGCTGTTTACAAGATTACTACCAATCGTAGCACCAGCGCCAAAGATGGCAGCATTTCCCAGCTTTTTACCAAACTTCTTTCCATTTTGCTCCATCTTGCTCGGTTCGGCGGGCGTACTGGGACTACCACCTCCTTGCGCCACCGCCATAGGGGGAACTTGTGCATTATACGGGTTTTGGGCCTGCGGCGGCGGTGGATAACCGCCATTATCTCCTGGGGTAGCTGTAGCGTATACCGGTTGAGCCGGGGCGTAGAAACCTGACTTCTCACTGTGGTCTATCTCAACGTAATTCTTGGGAAAGATACCCTCGGCGTTCGTCCGCTTGTTGCGTCCCATCCACCAGTCGTCATTCATATATTCGTATACAGCAATCTTATCCTCGCGCTCAAATGATAGATCTCGATCATCTGCAGCCTGGTATTTGTAGAGTGCCTTCGCGTGGGCGATGATCGGCTTCGATGGGGGTGGAGGAGGAGGCCCTGTGCGCGAAGGGAGCGAGGGCGGACCGGTTGAGCTGTATGCTGGAGGTGCGGGAGTGGAAGTCGGGTTCTGATTGATTGCTAAGTTGGCCATGGAATGAACAGGTGGTGTATGTTGCGGTGGGGGACCTGGAGGGGGCGAAACGACAGAGGCACCTCGCGTTGATGGCGTAGGCGCACCAGAGAGGGAGGTCTCTGCGGGAAGCGCTCTATGAATTGAGTCGAACACATCGTCTGTTAGAACCCCCTTCTCAAGAAGATGTTCAAGCTCCTGGAAACTAGTTAGCGACAAGGATACTCTCTACACAGTTATCCTAATACCTAGAGGGAAGATTTGGAAAGGCTTGGGAAGGCTTGGGAAGGCTTAGCTAAATGCTAGCATACATTCTTGATGAGACGAAGCGACTTGTTAGTCGCAATAATCTCCTGTCGATCGAGGGTAACCATCTTGTTAAAATAATTTGACTCTCCAATTGTACAATTCACAATATCAAGATAAGTAGCGAAAGTAGAAAAATGTATTGTTACTGTTAAACTGCGGCTACTCGGAAGACTGGTAGCAGATTGTTGATTGTTGGTGGAATGACGGGAAATGGACAGAGGCAAAGCCCCGCCTCAGGCTCCTTTCAGTTGTATGAAGTGGGTGGCTGTGCACAATCCCTAGGTACCTGCTATATTGGAAGTTCCAATACCCGCGGATTTAAGTTATGTAAGTTCATAATTTGGGTAACGCTGTTGCATTAATCTCTCCTTTCTCTTTTCTAAGAAAAAAAAAAGAAAAAAAAAAACACCCATCACATAGTGGCATCTTGTACTAACAAAAATAGGCCCTAGGCTAGATGTTTTATATGGTATATATCTTGACTTCTAACGCATTTCTAAATATCCTGCAAATCTAGACAAAAGGGCTGTTCTTCACAACATATTTGTCAACATATTCGTCCACAGCCGTAGTCTCTAATTTCTTGCCATTCATCCCTAGATCGATAAGCTCCTTAACTTGCGACTCAGAGAAATGTGGTCCTAGGTGTCGCTTGTACTTGGCTAGAATGTGCGGCTTGGCTTCTTCTCTTCTTAGGCGGTGTCCTAGAGGAGCCTCAACAACAACCTCATCCAGGATCGTACCATCGTTCAGCTCGACCGTCAGGGCGTTAGAGATAGTACGTAGCTCCGGGTCGTGGTAGTCCTTGGTAAACTGCGGGTCCTCGACACACTTGATCTTCTGGCGGAGCGACTCAACTAACGGGGACGTCGCCGCCTCGCCGCCGTCAGTGTAGTCGGTCGCCTCCAAGCGCCCGAATACGAGCATAACCGAGCACATGTACTGGATACAGTGGTCGCGGTCCGCAAAGTTGTCCATCGGCTTGAATTGCTTGTCGATGATCCGGATGCAAGCCTCATGTGTCCTACAGGTAATACCCTTAATATCAGCTGCAGACTTACCTAAGTCCTTCAGCTTGTTGTGAATCTTCTGGGAAGCCTCTACCGCAGTCTGCGAGTGGAATTCGGCTAAGAGAAGGCAAATTAGCAAGGTGGCAGCCTTGTGGGTTTATCAATGTACGAACCTGGATACGAGACCTTGAATAGAACGTTCTCCATCACGTAGCTGCCGTAAGGACGCTGGAACTCGAACTTGTTGCCCTTGAACAGGACGTCGTAGAAACCCCACACAGGCGCAGATAATACAGTAGGAATACCGGGCTCGCCCTTCGCGACCTTCAACGCAAGGTTGACGGCTCTTTGACAAGCATCGCCGGCAGCCCATGACTTTCGGGACATGGTGTTCGGAGAGTGTCGATAGGTTCGCAGGCTCTGTCCGTCAACCCAAGCCTGGGTAACGGCGTCGGCGATTTGCTTCTCGCTCAATCCGAGCATGTGGGATACAACCGCGGTACTGGCAACTTTAACGAGCACAACATGGTCAAGACCGACTTTGTTATACGAGTTAAGTAGTGCCAGACAACCCTGGATCTCATGCGCCTTGATCATGCCCTCGAGAACGTCCTTAACGGTAAAGATCTTGCCTCCGGCTAGGTTGCCGCCAGCTTTGTTGGTGCGGTTAACCCAGTCGGCAACGGCCAGGATAGCGCCCAAGTTGTCTGAGGGGTGGCCCCATTCTGCGGCTAACCAGCAATCATTGTAATCAAGCCATCGGATCGTAGCACCGATGTTGAAGGCACCATTGACGGGGTCGAGAACGAAGTCGGTACCAGGGACCCTAGTACCGTTGGGGACGACAGTTCCTGGGACAACTGGGCCAAGTAGCTTAGCGCATTCCTTAAATCGTAGACCCTCAAGTCCACAACCTAGAGTATCAAGGAAAACCCATCGTGCGGTGTCAAACTATTTGCAGATTATATGTCAGCTAATTGCGTACCCCACCAATTTTCACGATACGGTTTAATATGAAATAGAGGACTCGTACAGCTAATTCAGAGTCAATCGGCTTAGTCACGTAATTGGCAATATCCTTGATCTCAGGATCGTATTCTCTTCCTTCTTGAGGCATGGCGGGAGCGGATCGTTGCGTGGTAGTTGTTGAGAATGGGGAAGACGAAGCAGGAGAGCGGGTGTAGGCGGGGTGGTTTAATCGTATCGTAGCTCCAAGTTTCGCTGTTGTTGCACGCGAGGATACACTTAATGGTGATGTTCTTTGCAAGATGGTTCTTGGTTGTAAACGTAACGAGCGGGAGGCTGATAGGAGACTACGATTAACTGAAGACATCTTGCATTGGCCGTGGACTCAACAAATTGCAGGCCAACGTCTCCAAGGGGAGTTTTGGAGGCTAGGAGGGAGCTTTCATTAAGAAGACGAAACGAAACGTAGGGCCGGTGAATTTGGAGGCCGACCTTATTCCCTCGGTACCTACAATCCTAGGTTAGATAGGTTAGATAGGTTAGGTACCTAGGTTAGGTAGTACCTACCTACCAAGGTACGGTTAACTTGCAGTATAAACCCGGCTACATACGGCCAATGGCGGGGAAGAGAACCCCAGAACCCCAGAATTCGAAAAACTATGATATCAGTCAGCAACCCTCCACCTATTACCTAGGTAGGGTCAATATAATCCCAATTATATACTTTCACGATTCCTTTTTTTGTTCTCAACCTAGGCACTCGGGTCTTGATCTTAAACGAACATGCTTAACTATTTTATTGAGCAATATGAGGTTGTAGGAACCCTAACTTTTATGGACGTCCCACCACTGAATCGATATTGTATCGGCGTATTTAGTAGCAAATACACCCCGCGTCCCCAACACCACAACCACTTCAAGAACTCCAGCCAACATGGTTCTTGTGCTGCCGGTAGCATGTATTATTAGCTAGCAACTGGAGGCATTACGTAATAAATTTGCGAATTTAAAATGAACCAGCAATATGATATTTGAATTCGAACCTGATCCTCGGGTAGCGCTTGGAAGATGGCAAAATATATCATGACAAAGAGTAGGGGAACGAGGGAGGAAAAAAAAAAACGGAAGATCTCCCAAAATCTACAAAAGAAAAAAAAAGAAAATTCGTGACAAGAGTGGGACTTGAACCCACGCGGATTGCTCCATGAGGATGTAGGAATTAAGGTGACCTTAACCTCACGCCATAACCAACTCGGCCATCTTGCCCTTGAGACTTCTGATTCGCATAAACAGCTTATAGTTTAATTCCTAATCTCAACCGAATAGGGTTAGTGTAACACTTGTCTAGGTTCTGTATATCGACCACATCCATCCTCCCCGAATACATCATACAAATTAAATGATAACTACCTAGGTAAATAAGCAAACCTATCATTAGTATTATTATTATTACCACATATCCTACTCGCAGCACTCACCAAACAATAGCACCCCTAACATACCCACGATCCACAAGCTCCCTAAAGTTTCTCTCCAAGCATTTAAACATATACCCATTCAGATGTCTTCCACTACCCAATACATCAACAATCCGCTCGAAATCAAACTCTTCCGAAGGCCGCGAGCATTTCTCCAAGATTCGTCTTAGGACAGAAGTCTTGCACCTCGGATCCCTAGCTGCCGTGCGCAAGCTAAGCGCCAACAATGACTGCTTTGTTACGTCTATGTCTATACTTCCCTCCATATTATCCCCCCTCTCTTCCTTCAACGCCCGAATAATACCCACATACTCATCCCTCAACTCCTTCAATATCCACGGCGCATCCTCATATCGATTCTCTTCCGGCTCCTCATATGTCCCCTTCCCCCTCTAGAGCACTGGCGACGGCCGCCAGCGCCACGCAAACGTATTAAAATCTCTGACGAGCCACGGCGGGAAAGTCTCGTTACCAAGTGATCTCGGCGCAACGTGCACGCCGTCCCAGCCCACGATCGCTTTGATATCGCCTTCTTTAGACACGATGATGTGGCGCATGCTCAGGTCCGGGTGTGTAAGGACGAATCCCTTCTTATGTTGACTCGCCTTTTCCTTGCCCTTAGTGGATCTTGGCTTAGAGGGCTCGGAGACAAGATTTACGAGGAGGCGAAGTAATTTATCGACGCCGATATTTGCTTCGGTGTCGCATGGGTACTGATCTAAAAGTGATGTGTACATTTCCTTCGCGTTTCCAAAGGGACCTACTGCGGTGTACAGAGGTACTCTCTCGCAGTCCTCGTTGTCAAGCCAGCGGTTTATCATGGCCTGTATGTCAAGCTCCCTCGAGGGTCCTACGTCGGTGAGCATCCCGTTACTGTCGAAGACTGGAGCCCCCCCATGTTTAAATTCGTATTTCCCAAGTTCAAGCACCGCCCGCGCTAGATTCTGCAGGACCTTACTCCTTATTACCCTGATCCCCTTCTCGTCATCCCCGTGAAACCAGACCTGATCCAGTGTCAGACCAGTCACGTATTCCATGATTAGATAGGGAACATGAATCTCGTTATGAGGAGAAGAATCGGCGTCGATGATCGCGGGCACCGGCACGCCGGTCTCCGTGCGAAGCATATAGAGCACAAGTGCTTCGGTACGGAGCGCTTCGGCGCATAGTCCATCCCATATATCCGGCGTACCGTTGATAGGGATCTTAATCATCCACTTAATATCTTCGTGGTCCTGGGAACCGGCAAACACGATTGAATAGAAGATATGCGCCGACCCTAAGAACGGCCCGTCGACCTGGGGTAGTTGTAGTGGAGATGAACCGTTGACGGATGTGAGCCTGTAGCGAGCCTGCATGATACCAAATGTAAAGGATGCAATAGTCGCTATGTCGATATGGGAGAGTATACCAGCATAGTCGTGGTGTTTCCTTTGGCTCCTCCTCTTCCGCTCCATAGCAGCGTTCTGGCTTTTTTCCGCCGGTGCAGCAGTTACGAGTGCGTCTTTAAGCGAGGGTTTGCTTTTTACTTCTTTTGTGTCCAGTTCTTGGTGACCCAACTTGACTTCCCATCGTGATAAATTTACCAACTTACCTAGGTCCGCCCATTTTCTATTGCTGTCTAACCCGCCTGCGTAGTCGACATGTGATTGGTTTTTACCAATCTTCAAAGACAGTCCCAGAATCAGTCCTAGGTTCACGTGCTGTTCCTGAGCTAGTCGATCCAGTTCTTCTTGACGCTCAAAGCGAGATCGCTCTATAAAGCTTTGTGCTAGGGAATCTGACATCGCTTCTAAGGAGGAAAAAAAGGTGTGCTAAATGATACAATGCTATTGAATAACTTTGTGAAAAGTAGCTGGACATAAAGGTTTATAGAGCTAGAAAAACCAACAAAGACTTGCTTCATGATGATGTTGGTGGCGTCGGTTTCCGTATCCGGAAGCTATTATTATCAATATTCTTGCATCGTATTTGGCATTGGCATGTTTCCACGAGCTTGCACGCCTAGTAAACTCCCTGTAAACTCCCCGTACAAGTCTAAAGTATTTCTAGCCATCTAAAGTATATACGGCCAAACGCCTTTAGTCTTTCATATAAGGGTATAACCACCACTGATTACCGTCATGTATCCCTCCAGGAAACTCACCTAAAAATAATAGTGCTAAAACCTCTTATAATCTGCTACTATAAAGTCGACACAAGGGAGGAGAATAACCACCAACAGATAACATCGATGCCGTAGAACTATTCATAGGTCCATAGTCACGGTCAAATCGTCCACGAACTGTAACCGTATTCAAGCGTAACAGTTTAGCATGCAGGCAGACCATGTCTTTCTAACCCGTGGCCAGCCTATTCGTGGCCAGCCAACTCCTTGCCAGCCTACTAGAAAACCAGCCGCGCGTTCTGTAAGGCGTAGCAAAGCCGAATACTACCAAGACCTATACCACCAAGTACCAAGGCCGACGAGGAGTAGAGTAACGAATACCACAAGACCCTCTTTTGATTGCGAGATCAGCATTGACCAACCGATAGTTGGCTCCCATTTCTGGATATAAGCTCGGCGTTCCCAAGACTGAAAGTCGATTGGGAATGGGAGCTTGATCCGAGGGTCTACAGGTAGGGGACTGTCACCTTTTGTTCTTAACTCCGATTCCAGAGCAGATTCGGGCGGCATAAGACAATCATGCTCAAGCATTGGGACCTCTACACGCAAGAATACTGCTCTATGGTCGCTTGATCTGACGGGGGGGAGCGCATTATAATCTAGTATCTTCATACTCTTATCGCCGACGGTCTCCCTGGCCCACCAGGGTATCTCTTGGTATAGAATGCGGTCGCACCAGCCGGGCCATCGATGAAGAGCCCACGACCAGTCGACTTCATCCATGTCGTCTTCGTCATCCCCGATGCGATCAAGCCCGGTGTGTGGCTTTGGTTTTGGGGACACTACTAGCTTATATGTTGGTGGGAACAGGATCTCTGCCTCGCTCAATCCGTGTAGTGTGTGGCCAGCATCTTTCTCTGCAGTAAGCTGATCGCGCGCCAAGAAAGGCGAGAAGTGATTAGAATTCACAGTATCAGGATTAGTATCAGGAAAGACTGAGTCCGAAGTTGGTGAACTCTTGGATATACGATAGTTTAGGTCTCCAGCAACAAAGAGGTGGGCGCCGGGCTTATATATGGAAATATCGTGCAGTGATTTTTCGGTTGTGTCCTGCGGGAGTAGAGCTTGCTGGGCTTCGGAGTCATCGTCACCCCGAATAGTGGACTGCGTCGCCTGACTTTCTGCAATTTCCTTAGGATTCTCAAATACGAGGCCAGAGACGATAGCTTCCCAATTCTTATTCCTCTTTTCGAGATTCCACTCCATAGCAGCCAGATGAGCACCGACGAAGGTGAGTTCGGTCGATGCTAATAAACAGCCATCCGTATTCCTTTTGTTGTAATGCATCCGAAGCCCCACAGCTCCTTTATTAGGCATGTCACCAGCGCCAAAGGCAACAACCGTAGCCCGTAGATTCTTCACCGTGTTTGGGTCGCGGGCGAAGAGAAGAATGCCTGTCATACCAACATTGCGCGCAGTCACTAGCGTATACAGATGCTCTACCCCGTCGGCGAATTTAGCAGCGGCAATATTTACGGCCGACTCATATCGTTGGAAATAAGGATTGAGCATGTAGGAGCCAATTAAGGCCTGAGCCAGTGGTGCCATCTCCTGGAGGGATCTAGACAGACAATTAATTATCAGAAAAATGAAGTATTGCTTAACACACTACTCAATGTGTCGCCTAATGAATGCATTTTATATGATACTTACATGACGACCAACTCTGGAAGACTCGAAGCGTTCCGTGCGAATGCATTGTATAAGTGTCGAGCAAAGACGGGGACGTTAATCTGGTGCTTCGCAGCATTGAAGGTGAGTATGAAGACGTCCAACGTCGGAACTGGATCCATCTCTGTAGACGAATTAAAAGCTAAGTTTCGGTGTTTCGGTGTTTCGGTGTGCAGTCAGGGTTGTAATGTGAATTTGTAGAATGGAACCTTGATCTTCCAAAAGTTGCAAGCTCTAATGTGTTAAGTTTATGTTGTATCACCTTCTCTTCCAAGATATCGGGGTTTTTGAAACCTCCCTCTTTCCTTTCCGCGTAATAGATATTATGTCATCGATATCCAATTCTCGGGTATGGATGTTCAGGGTCCTTCCGAATCCGGTATTATACGAGTATTTAGGTTAGGTAGATGGCTAAATAGGTGCTAGACGAACACCAGGAGGTACTTAATCTTGTTTTCCTCCCCTACGAATTCGACGACACTTGCCAACTCTTATATAATTTCACTCATTTTTACATCCATTCAAAATAGGGCTATGTGATCAGGTATGCGACCATATTACATATATATCTTATCCTAGACAAAAACCTGCCCATGTCAGGCGCTCTGCGACTATTCAAGGCCATGTGATCTTCGAGAATGTGCACAGCCTCTCCGAATAGCCGCTTCTATCACAAGACTTCCCTTTACTATTGGTCGAAATACACCCCTTACCTTGAGCATGTCTACTACTATACCAACCCCTGAAGTATTACGTAGTCACAACTCGTCCATTGTTACGAATTCAAGTTTACCAATGATAATGCAAATATAATTCATTCTGTGTAACTACCTAGCGTGTATGTCTGTCGTCATCGTCGCAGAAACCCCCCTCTCCATCAATGTTTCCTGAGTGCACTTCACCGACGCTACCAATCTACCGCGAGCTTAGACTGCGTCTTTCGTTTCGTCGAGTATCGCAATATTTTTTAAACGTCCTGTTTCTAACGCCTTGTAAGGTCAATGAGCCCGGAGGTTCGTGGATACTACTACTGGCTAAACGTGCGGAAGACACCGCCCATGTTTATTAATCCGCCTCAACCTGGAAAAGGATTGTTTCCGACCACGGGCTGAGATTTCACCACGACTGACGGTAAGGCCGATAGTATGTAACCATAGTACGTAAGCTGTTAGCTCCGCCCATGTTAGTATCGTAGATTCAAGACCAAGATCTGGCCTGTGCGGATTTAGGCGACAACAAGCTCCGGAGCATCATTAGGCTGGCGTTTGATATTGCTGAACACCCCAAGACGAACTCCCACCCACTTCATTACAACATCCCCAGGAGTGGATATTGGCATAACGATGCAAAATCCGAATGGGAAAATGAACGAAAAGAAACCATCGAAGAAGCGAAAAAGAAACCAAAGAAGTTCGTCATATCAGAAAGGCTAATCGATCGCATCGAAGGAGCATCAACAACTCGAAACATGAAGATATTAGTTTCGAAAGTAGAAGAAGCCCAGGCTCCGGGTAGGCATCATCCTCTAATTCATACGCATTATTGAAAAGCGAAGAATTGAGATTGACATGCCATGATAAGACTTAATTCCACAACGACACCCCAAACAAGTCAGAGTGCCGGAAGTGCCGTTCAAACAAACCTAGCCACACTTAAGAAGAACGTTGAATGTGCGCGAAGCACAAATCGACGCCTTCTAGTGTTACCAGGTTGTTCGAGCCACGGAATTGAGTCGTAAACCGGGAGTCATCGAAGAACGGAAACAATAGCAATCCATACGATATGAAAGGGATCGTGCGAGGTCCTCTATCCGATAATAATAGGCATAGGTCCTTGACGGACGTTCCAAAGCCAATGCAGAGGAAGATTGACGAGGTTACCACGATTCCGAGTTACTTTCCATTGTGCAGGTCAAACATGCGTCAAGCCCGCTACAACGCAACAGTTATCACTAATGTGAAAATGCCGTCGAATCATTTCGGTCGGTAGGATCCAGATGCATATCCAGAGCCAGCGCCCTGGCCTTTGGAAGCTGATCGCAGCCTGTTACCGCAAACTGAAGTGTCAGCAAATCGTGTCAGCAATTCCTCCGTCTAGCGCTGTAAATCACACCAAACTCGAAGGAAAAATGATTCCTTACTAGGAATGCTTGGGCTGGGCTGGCGAGACACTCACATCCTGTCGCTTCCTCCGACGGCACGGTTGGTTTCTGGAGTGTCAACGCCGGGAACACCGCGCTCGATTACCTTACGGCGAGAGCTGGGAATCGCGTTTGGCTTCACAGTACCCGACGGGGGAGCCTGACCTGCTGCTGCTGCAGTGGTTCGTCGGGCCTTGTCGTCTTCATTCTCACCCTGGCCGGCCGCCTGGGCGATTGCCTGGGCGTTCTTTTGATACTTATAGACAGTCCAATCGAAGACGTAGTCGTACTGGAACCCTTCACGGACGAAGAGATCACGGAAGATTTTTCGGAGGTAGCTGTAGTCGGGCTTGTCATCAAATCGGAGGGAACGGGTGTAGTTCAGGTAAATGGCAAATTCGTTGGGGAAACCACGGCAAAGGACCTCGGTCGGTGTAGTCATCTTCTTTTCCATGATGCGGTCATACTTCTGCTTCTTAGTAGCAGCCTTGAGACCCTGCCAGGGAAGAGAACCTCGGCAGAAGTATAGCATCACATAGCCTAACGACTCCATATCATCACGACGGGATTGTTCTGCGCTAGTTAGTTTCTATTACGAGGGCATCAGCAAAGAACAACTACTTACCAACACCAAGATGGGTATTGATGGAGGCATATCGAGCAGTACCAGTCAAGTTCTTGTTCTCACGGTAAGGAATATGGAAGTGAGTCTTGGGGTCTCGGTATTTCTTGGCAAGACCAAAGTCAATAACATTGACCTGGTTACCTCGTTTGCCGATGCCCATTAAGAAGTTGTCAGGCTTGATATCACGGTGGATGAATGATTTAGCGTGTATATATTCGATGCGGGAAATTAGTTGGTCGGCGAGGAGCAACACAGTCTTCAAGGAAAACTTCCTGTTACAAAAGTTGAACAGGTCTTCCAAACTAGGACCGAGAAGATCTAGGACCATGGCATTGTAGTCGCATTCGGTTCCAAACCAGCGGACGAAGGGGATACCAACGCCACCAGCAAGAGACTTGTAAACTCGAGCCTCATATTCGAGCTGAGGGTGCTTCGCTTTGACAGACTCTAGCTTAATGGCGATTTCTTCACCCGAGATGATGTTGGTGCCAAGATAGATATCACCGAACGAACCGGAACCGATCTTTCGACCGATACGGTACTTATTACCGACGCGAAGATCCTGCAGTAAGTCAGCACCAGTCAGCTCACCTGCCAACCGTATTCATGCTCGGAATACAACGAAAGTTTTGCAAGACAGGCTTCCGAAGACGCCTTCATGCTGACTATAGGGGGTACCCCCATCAACGCACACCGACATTCGGTCTCCACTATCTAGACGAGAACCAAGACAATCCATAGCACGATCCACCGCCAGATATGATCATGATAACTAAATTAACGACATACCATAGTAGTCATGCTGATTATTGGGGTTGAGCTACCAAGCTCGACAAAGGTGGATTAGATAAACACAGAAGCCGGGCTTCTGTGGTTTAAATCGACTCGCTGGGTCGATTATGAGGGTTTATCGAAACTATTATGGTCAACCTGTTCGAATCGAAATTAGTAAGACGATATTTACCTAGCAGGCAACTATAGATATTTGATTTTGCATTCCGAAATGAATTATTCAAGATGGTTTTGCAACGTACAAAAGCAACAGCGACGATTTCTGACAATAAAAGAGTGGCAAAGTAAAATGCGTTTAGATTTAAAATCAAAGGGCAGGGCAAGATAAGCCGACGAGACAAATAGATAAATGGACTGCTCAAACTCTCAAGCATAAAAGAACTTGGAGCGATTGCTGATACCCGACTGAGGTTTGAAATGGAATGGAGGGTTCCGACCGAGAGCAGAAGTACGGAGAAAGGAGATGCTTGTCTTACCTGACGAACTGGCGTTTGTAGTAGCTGTAACCAGCAGTTTACTGGCGTCAAAGAAAATGGAAAATGGGAAATTGATGGAATGAATAGTAAGAGAGAGGGTGGAGGGAAAAGATAAAAGCAGAAGACGTGGCCGTCGAATATCGAATTAATTTCGCCGGTCAAGTAACACGTCTCAGTCGAATACGACGGCGAGTGGGTGTATGGGAAAGATGGAAAGTTAGTGGTTAGGTTCGGTAGGGGAAGAGAGAAAAGGAAGAATGAGACGGCGGTGGACGAATTTGGCTGAGTGGAGGAGGGATGGGCTGGAATGGGGTTGGGCGCGCCTCACGAAGCTGGGCAGGACCGACCCCGGTACTGATTGGGTTTTTGGCGCGCTGAAAGTGGGTGCAAGTGTCCACTGGTTTGCTGGTTTGCTGGCTGGGTCAAACTGGCTGGGCTCAACCTGTACTTTACTCCTAGGTACCTACTTTTAGTGGACAAACGAACTAAGGCAACTGTGGCTGACAATTATGTATGTATAACTGCATCCTGTAGCCTGCAACGCTTGAAGAAACCGAAGGGAAGTCACCTTGCCCAGGCTTAGATATGGTACTTACGCACATGTAATACATACCGATAACAGGTACAGTCTTTAGCTTTTGGGGTAAGTATCTTTTCACCGCCGTAAGGCCGTGCAAGCTGCGTACATGTAAGAGGTAGGTACTACCACCAAGTACTTGAAACATGTACCTTATGTTAGATACATGTAGGTAATCTACATGTATCAAAGTCTACATGTACCTATAATCTTTACGAGCGGAATTTAGTTGGTGGGTTGCTCAATGGTCCTCAATAACCCTCAGCAACCGGATCGCTAGTTTCAGAATATCAGAACCGGCAGTTGCTTCTGCCGTCGTTAATAATCTTCTTATCTTCTTATATTCTCTCATCAAATACTCACAATGATGAATACGCCGTGAGTAACCTTAAATGCAATAACCGTTAGATCATGTACCTAAGTCTTACACACAAAAAAAAAAGCATGCAAAATGACAACCGACGCATCCGTAGCGCTGTTTATTTTAAGGCGTCCAGATGGCGAAGTGTAAA